CCGGTTACACCCGAGCGAAGAGAGCGGCTGCGGGCACTGGGTCTGGGTCCTGCTGTCCGGGCTCTGCTGCTGGCAGCGGAAGCCGCGGGAGGTCAGCACACACTGCTGTCCCAGCGGACAGTCGGAGCGTCCCTCCGAGGTCACGGAACACTCCTCCCGCCTGCCACAGACGCCGTCCCGACACACTCCGCTGAGACACTGGAACCCGGTGGTGCACGGGACGCCGTCCGCACTCTGGGGAACGCACCTGGTACCTCCCGAAGCTCCATTGCTGCACACTTGTCCCAGAGGACATCCGGACGTGAAGAGCGGCAGCGGACACTGGCGCTGCACGAAGGTGACGACTGGCGGACTGGCGACGCCGACGGGTGAAGAGAATCTCACAACACCCGGCGTATTGCTGAGGCTGGACAAAGGGTTACTGACGCTGTTGGTTCCGGCGTTGGCCAGCGCGGAAAGGCCGGAGAGAATTTCCTCGAACAGGAAGCGGGCGCGCCGGCTGGGCCCGGGCCGTTTCGATTCGCTCTGAGTATTTTCTGGTTCAGCGGCACACCGCACAGAAACTATCACGACCGCAAAGAGGATGACGTAGGATAGCTTCATATTGGTATATCTTCAAACAGATTCAGATTGAAGAAGAGGTGACCAAATAGAACAAAAATGATCATATAGATAATGGATGGAGCTCTGAAAAGCTGCAGCAACTGCAGCTATCTCAGGGACATCATGAAAATTTCACAATAGAAAGGAATAGTATAATACTGGATAGAAGCAGATGTACAAGAGGATTTACAAGATGTAGGCTAGGATTCTAAAGAACTCTGCCGCTGCTCTCCTTGCTCTCTCTTCCTCCGCCACCGGGCGAAACCCCGCTAGGTCAGACACTTATAGCTGAACCATGTGCGCCCATCAAGCCGAGTCGCGTACTTAAAAACCTGACCGGGTCTCCGCTTATATATCAGCCGCCACGGACTGGGACCCTCGCCAGTCTGCGAAACCAGCTCGGCCACATGTCGAGGCAGTTACGTCACAGGCGGCAGTCCAGAGAGGAATCTGTGCCGTACGTGAGATGGGTTAAGAGGTTGCGGGGCACGCCGCACGCGCCAGTCAGTCCGGTTCATTCGGTGGCTGGTTCCGGGTGAAGTACCATGTCCTGAGGGCAACCGGGACTCTCACGCTGTTTGAAGTGGCTAGAGAGCAACCGTGCCGCGTGCCAATTGTCTGGTGATCAAAGCCGGATATGTCTGGATCAGGAGGCAAGGAACTAGCCTATAGACAAAACCTCCTCTCGATGGCTTCCGACTCTGCAATGGACATAGGATAGTTTATGTATGTGTATGCGTTTGTGTGTGTGTATGTATGTATGATCTGAATATTAAGATGGAGCGGTAGCGAGGCTCAGGGCAAGCTGTATGCTGTGTAGAGAGGCCAGTTCAGCAGAGGCCGCCAGAGCGTAAACGCGAGTTGTGCGGTCCGTTTGCGTTGACGTGGTCGAGTGACTTGTATGGGCAGTGGCATTGGACTTGGCGGCGGCGAAGAAAACCGTGGGGCAAGAGAAGTTGCAGCGCGCCTTATTACTAAAAGACACTGTTGCATAAATGAAAACATGTTATTTGTGAAACAGCAAAGGGTTTATTGGACTGCAATTAAATGTTTCGTCTTTTCTATATTTTTCCGGTGAGAATAAAACGAAACCGTAGGTGCGATTGCCCCAAATGCTCCCTAGGACACATCGGTTAGTAACTATAATGGACGCATGCTATAGGACGTTTGGTGTTCACAACGCAAATACCTACCCCAACGATGGGAATCGACAATCGTTGCTAGCTCAAACGACAGCTAAGCAAAATCTGCATTCCCTTCTCTAAGACCTCGCCTCGCCTTTAACCTTCCTTATCGTCGCACGGCCTTCCTTAACGTCGCACGATCACCGCCATCCTGAGTTCACAGATGTGGGCACAGTTACACGTATCATATCTTTAGCGACGTGGCCAACGTTCACTGGCATCGATAATGATTTAAAGATGATTTCGGTCTGAGTCATCCTAAAGTTGGATCACTGTCATGGTCCTGGATTAGATCAGGATCATGTTCCCTTGCAGGATCAAAAGTCGATGTGACGGTTAATGTGGTGCAGCGATAATGACATAAGCACCTAGCACTTCCGAACATTGATGTGAATGTGAACTGTGAAGCCATAATCGCCTCGCTGTATGTGGAAAGCTTGTGAAGTTAAGCCATACGTACATAGTGTAGGGGAGAGAGGTCATATTGCGCCATGTTCTTAAATGCGCCACACCTTCCTCCTGTCCAAAATTCGATTCGAATGAATGCTCGAATGTGTGCATTTACTTCACCACCAATAACTCGCTCTTATTCCGGTCCACGGGGGCAGGTGAGGTGTCTCAGCTTTCTCGCAGATCATTTTTTGTGATTTCCTCTATTTTCTTACGCGAAACAGTCTATTTCGACCTTTGCTAGTGTCATGGTTTATCTTAGAGATAGTGATTCAACTAATAATCATTGTCAATTGCTCGTTTAATGGTAGTTTTGTAAGTTTATCACCACCGTGGCTTCGCTGTCCTCGCCATATTTGAAGCTCATGAAAAATGTGTTCCATTCGTAATTGCGCCCACCCTATTTGCGCCCTATTCTTCAACCCAGAGAAACAGCATCTGGTGGTTGGGACACATTTCATTGAACACTTTGATTATTAGAGCGCTCACCTTACCATTACCTTAGCCTTCACAGCATAAATGGTTAACGGGCTGACACGTTCAAATAGGCTACTTAGTTAGGTGGCAAACCGTTGTTTTTAATAGGGCGCTTTTACATGAGAGGCATGGGCGCTTTTTGATGGGGTAGTCCGTAAATGCGCCCTTTGCAGGTGTGTCGGAAAACTTTTCTCTTGTTAATTTTTATGGGTATGATACAAATTAGGAGTTGTAATTTGATGCCAAAATAACTGAGGTACAATTTGAGATATCATCAAGCATGACAGCTGGTCAACTTTAGCCGCAATAGGCCGATATCCTTAAGGTGGCGCAATATGACCTCTCTCCCCTACATACATACATGCCAAGTTGGTTACCTTCTCTTTACCTAATTTGATTTGCAGCAGTAATTTCTTCCGATCGTCTTATTGGAATGACCAGCTTTGTCAGGTAAGAGTGGCTGTTGAAGCGGTTGACACGACGATGGGAAGTGTTACTAACTTATTAGAGTTGTTTCTCATATCTTTCTACGCATAAACACATGCTCCGCAAGCTCAACGCCAACCATTTTTATTTTTTGTGGGTAGATTCTTTTAGTTTGTTGAGACAATCTTAGAAGTTGATGAGACTTGTTGAGACTGGCCGGCGGGGTTAGCTCCAGAAGGAGCACACCCTTCCGGGGCGAAAGCTTAAAGGTAGTGTGCCACCTTTGAAAGATTTCCCATTTTATTTTTCCTAGGATAAGAAGCTTCTGTTTTTACCTAATATCGCAAAAAAAATCAAAAATGGGCGTGGAATAGTGCCTTTTTCGCCTAAAAGTTTATCGGTTTTTAGATATGTATAACAACTGTAGTGGGCTCACCTGCAAACAGGCGTCGGCAACAATCGCGAATGCGGCGCACATGTGACAATAAGCAAAGGTCATTATAGTGTTACGACCATACGACGTACGGGAATGAGTTATCAGCTGTCTAATCGTAGACAACACAATGTCGAGCCTTAAACTGTAAGCCTGTATTGGTATTGTTTCTTTTATTTGGCTGTCGAACATTATTTATGGTTTGAAATATGATTTTATGTAAAATAATTGATATGAAAAAGCCGTCTCATAAGTTATGACCCCATTTCACCACACGCAAGTGGCAGAAATGACAATGATCAGCTGACGCATTTTTCTTGGCCGAAGTCAGAGCGCGCAGCCCGACGCACCACCACCGCACCACAAAGTATGAGCAAAAGCCGCGCCCAAAGCCAGGGCCCCGGTAACGTGAGGTAGCCGAGTCGGGGCAGCGTGCGCTGACCCAAGCCGGGGCCGCAGCTTTGGGCGCGGTCTACCGCATCCCCGCGGGCAGCCCCGGGCTATCACATGACACCGGGAGGACGCGCGGCTCCGGCTTGGGTCAGCGCACGCTGCCCTGACTCGGCTACCTCACGTTACCGGGGCCCTGGCTTTGGGCGCGGTCTACCGCACTACCTAACAGGCGTGTTCGAAACCGCAGGAGCTGATGATGAACGGGTTTATCGAAACTTGATTGGATGAGCATATCGGTAATAGCGATTTCAGTGTGTGCATTTATTGTTCATAGTGGTGTGAAATGTGGTTGGGGTACGACCGACAACCCGTCGGGGCGAATTTCGCACTGGGGTACTCAAAATTTGAAGAATTTAAGACGTTTCCATGAGTTTTGAAGGTATGGATAAGTTCTAAAAATCCGGTTCTCCTTATCTGGGCCATTAACTCCATACGGTCCAGGAAAGCTGGCACACTACCTTTAAGTGGCGGGCTGGCCTGTTTCACCGGATACCATGACATCCCAGTGGTAGGTACGGACCCAGTCACTGCAGCACACCAGTCGGTGCTCCAGGTTAGTTACTATAATGGACGCATGCTATAGGACGTTTGGTGTTCACAACGCAAGCACCGACTGGTGTGCTGCAGTGACTGGGTAGTGGGTCCGTACCTACCACTGGGATGTCATGGTATCCGGTGAAACAGGCCAGCCCGCCACTTGCTTTCGCCCCGGAAGGGTGTGCTCTTTCTGGAGCTAACCCCACCGGCCTGTCTGGCGGAATGGATACCAGCTCGGCCAGGGAAATTTGATCACAAAATCGGCAATTAATCATTAAGCAGTTCATTACGTAAGTGATCGTAAAACTTTTTTGAAACAGGCAAACATCGTGTTACGCGCATCAACCATGCAGCTCATGAGCACCGGATGACATAACTAACATTTAAATCGATTAGCTGCATGTCGATACTGAGAGGCCAGGGCGGTCACGTCTTACCTGTACTGCGACCTCCGAGCAGTTCCGCTCAGTTCCGCCCAGTTCCACCTGGCTCCACTAAGCTCCGCCCGGCCCCACTGAGCTCCGATCGGCTCCAGTCCGCTCCACTAGGTATCCCTGTCACCGTCTACCTGAAACCACCGCCTCCCGGCCTGCCCAGACACACACGGTGACCTCGGCCACGACCCACGCGGCCGGTCACGCCTCCGCGCGGCACTCGCTCTCTGGCCGAGTCGCTCTCGGAGGCTCCTCTCGTCCCTGGGCGGCGCCGACGGAGGGTCCACGCGGCGTCAGACGCACCACTGGGCGACACGGGGCCACTGTGACTGGCGGCGGGCGGGCGGCTCGCGCGCGACGTGACACAGTCCAGACTCTTGTCTGACGCCCGTGCAGACCAAGACCGGCGCCGGTCCGCCCCGTCCCGCCCCGTCCCGTCCGTCCCCACTGTCACGATACACTGTATGAATTCTTACGTTACTTCGTCCTGCCATTCACTCATTTGAAGTCCGTTTATTGGCGTTTAGCCAGAAGTCTTAGCTTATGACAGATATTCCAATTAAGCTCTTTAATGAAAAAGGCCTTAATTTTATGAAATGAAATGGAGGAATTATCATAGGTAGTTGAGCTAAATAAAAGTCGAAAACGCCACGAACATGAGTTACTCGGCAGTGTAAACGCATATTCTGATGATATATCTAGGTATCTGCGATTGTGCGGTAGTCCCAATGCATATTTTCCTTTCCAGTATGTGTGTGATTTCCTTTTAAATGTATCTTTCTTTAGGAAGCTCGAATATCTATGTCCATCAATATATGTCAAATCTACTGGCCTCGCCACTGACTAGGTAAGAGACCGGTTTGGCAGACGGATATGTTACGGCAACTGGTGGCTACTCAATGCAACGAACAGCGTAGTAATACTGCTAATCCTCCGTACTAAATGCCTAGGTAAGCAATAATCGTGCTTTATTGCCTTTCACTCGTGCCCAGGATAATGGGAATTCATGTCACAACAAATAAGACTGCTCGGACTGCTAGACTGTTGCGAAACTTCATGGGTGAAATCCGGTCAGCCGTTAACTTTCTGCACATGCCATTGAACATCACAAGTTCCGTGCGGTGTTGAGTTCCTGGTCGTTTGCTGTTGCAGTGAGGACGGTCCTCCACGCTGTACCACTTCGGCAGCCATCCGTGTGAGCCCTGCCTGACTGACTGTCTGTCTGCGCTGAGCCCTGTCTGCACAGACCGGTCGTGGTGGGCGGGGCGTTACCCGTTTCAGAAACCAGAGCAGGGCTTAGACACCGCGTAGAGCCAGTCTGCATGCATTTCAATAATGTAACGCATCAGGTCAAAGGTCAACGGGTACATGGACGTCCGACATGTGAATGATGCATTGACCTGTTTTGACGAAGAATGTCTTAGGTTTACTAGCGTTGCAGTAAGTTATGGATTGTTGGCGGTTAGGTAGGTAGGTATATCAGTTGAAATCATACAGCATTGAATTCAATTCAATGAAGAAGCACGATAAACATTGGCGTCTGTCGAGCTGATCACGATAGCTATGATGGCTTGAAGTCCTAGTTCCGGCGGAATTTTGTGTTTCCGTCGGGTCTAAGACGCAACACTCTTGACTCCTCACATCACTGTTTCCTTGACCAGTGGTCAGCGTGGTTTCCCGTCCAGCTGCTGGCTCCTGACGTCGGAAAGTCCCACGCAGCAGAGAACTGAGTGGTAGGTGCGTACCATCATGTCCTTTCCGGAACATCGCCACCACGAGGCGCAGCTTGCCACATCCTCTGCGGGACGCCCCGTGTCCAGATAGTGGCATCCGCTGCCGGTGGGCGGCGTGGGATATCAGGCTGCTGGCCGCGGCCAGTCGGGGCCAGTGTGGCTGTGTCGCAGGTCGCCGCCGCCATGGCCGTCCGTTCTCCGTCTCTGCGCTGTGTGCTGCTCGGCTGGACACTGGCCGTCCAGCTGTTGACGCTGCACTGCTCCCGAGTGTCCGGCAGCGACCTCAGTCCCGAGGAGGCCGGCCTCACCAACCTGGAGTTGCGCAGCGACTACTCCATGAGGGAGGTGCTGGATGTTGTGGCCGAGATGCTCCATACCGGCGTCCGAGACATCACGGCACACACGCACGCCGAGGTGCTGTCTCGACTGGATAGGGTGCAGAGCTCGCTGGACGCGGTGGCAGGACTCGCCGCGCGTCTGGAGGCCATGGAGAGCCTGGTGAACGGCCTGCGAGAGTCCCCTGCAGCCGCCTCAGCCTGCCAGGAGAGCCTGCAGGAGACCCTGTCCCCAATATCCGACCGTCAGGACAGCCTGCAGACGTCTCTCTCAGATGTTATCGCCAGGCAGGAGGCCCTCCAAAGAGCCGTCACTGACCTCTCCGAAGGCCAAAAGTCAGCTCAACGGACACTGCAAGTTCTCGAGAGGCAGCAGAATAACATGACTGACGAACTGACGACACTATCGGGACAGCTGAAGGTCTTCTCCGAGCAGCCGCCGCAAGGCGTCGAGTACCTGCTGGACATTGTTCCCACGCGACAGGAGGTGCAGCAGAGTCTCGCCTCGCAGTGCAGACAGGATCCCAATCTGTCGGGCGTCCTGACCTCCCTTTCACAGACCCAGCAGGCGCTGATCGAGACTGTCTCCGAGCAGGGTGTGCGGCTGCAGGGCCTGGCCGATTCACTGGCCATCCTCTCTGACCACCAAAGGGACGTTCAAGTTGCGCTAACCGGCCTTCCATCCAGGAAGTATCTTCAGGAGAACATAGCCTCGCTCGCCAGCAAGAGGGACCGGATGGAGCCGCTGGAGCAGCTGGTCACCGGTCAGGAGAAGGCCCTTCAGGAGCTGTCAGCTCACTCTGGACGACTGAGCGACGTCCAGGAATCCTTGGCAGCCATCACCAGCCAGCAGTCGTCCCTTCCCGACCACTCCAGCGCCCTGGCCAGCATCGGCGGGATCCTGTCGTCCTTCCCTGAGTGGCAGAGGGAGCTCCAGCAGGCGCTGTCGGCGCAGTCGGCCCGTCTGACCTCCGTGGCCGAGGTGGTGGCGCTGACGCCGGTGCCCTCGGGTCGGCCCAGTCTGGTGACGGGCCGCCTGCTGGGGGAGCCGTGCCGCAGTACTGCCGACTGCGGCGCGCTGCGGTCGGACACGGTGTGCGGCAGTGACGGCCGGTGTCGGTGTGCCGACGGCCTGCAGCCGGTGGCCGGGGAGGCGTGCCGGCCGTACCCGCGGCTCACCGAGCCGTGCCGCGCCACCAGCGACTGCCGCGGCGCCACAGAGCTCGCCGTCTGCGCCGACGGCCTCTGCGGCTGCCCGCGCGGCCTCTTCAACTTCAACGGCACCGAGTGCCGCTCCGGACTGGGGATCGGCGAGCCGTGCCACCGGGACGCCGACTGTCCCACGCTGGTCGGGCTGGTGTGCGCCGCCGGCGCGTGTGCGGTGCGCACCTGCGACTCGCCCAGCGGCGGCTCCTCCTACCAGTACCGACTGGTGGGCGGCGACTCGTGCTCGGACGGCCTGCTGCAGTTCACCTTCAACTCGGGCCAGCTGTGGCAGTACCTCTGCGACAGCGACTGGACGGCCGCCGACGCCGGCGTCGCGTGCCGCTCGCTCGGCCTGTCCGGCGGTCGGCCGCTGCCCTGGAACACCACGGCCGCCGCCGAACCCAACTTCTTCTCGGTGAAGGACTACGTGTGCGGCGGCTCGGAGCGCAGCCTGTCCGGCTGCCGGCGGGTCTACGGCCGCCGCGACTGTGCCGCCACTGAGCTGGCAAGGGTTCAGTGCGGGGACTAGGGAAACGGACACTGCATCCTCGGTCTGAGTTCTATTGCCTTTCTGTTCTTTGCGCACTGATATTCGATGTGCATCGTTGTGCTAAAAATCAAGTAGCACATTTGACATTTTTGTGTTCATTTGGAGTATTGACCAGCGAGAAATAGGCTTTTGGATGGCTATTTCTTTTAATGGTGCGGTTTCAATGGCATTGTCGTCCACACTTTGGAAGTGCAGTCCAGTAAATTGGGATGTTGATGGTAGGAGCATGAATGTACGGTGATGCATAAATACATAGTGTTATGACTAAGTTGCGCTTTTCAATAAATTTCATTCAAAGAATAACGCATATCATTTTGTCACATAACCTCATAAAATGCTACTGACAGGCTCTAAGCAGCCCTGGAATGAGTGGTAAACAAAGAAACTTGGTGAGGTCTGAACCATACTCAAAAGTTCAACAGCCTCAACCCCGTCTACCTTAGGAGCGTAGGAGTTCGTAATCTATTTTATAAAAATCTTCCACGTGGTATGAGGTGTATTAAGACAACTATAATTCACTCGTATGGGTGTCCACTGCCCTGTCTACCTGCACTTAACTATACACACTACTAGCTGAACAACACTTCATGGCAAGCATCGTTTACCCGTCGAGAGGTTCGCAGCATGAGATCAGTATGTCGACGTAGTATCCAAATCCCGCACTGCAAAACATGCTTCAGCACTTCCATTCAAACCATTTCCTCGGTCACTCTACCAACCAAAGCTCACTGATAATATATATCTCGCGACATCAGCCCGAACTATGGGCTGAACGGCAGCTGGCAGTTGGTACCCGTACGGCATCACCAAGTCACCAGCTCTGGTGACTGGCTGAGCTGGTGCTCAGAAGGTGGTGCGGGCACTAATCTCCCCCACGATCCACTTGGTGTAGCTGGTGACGTCTGTGTAGATACCGGGCAGTCCGGGTCGGCCGCAGCCGATGCCGGCAGAGACCACGCCGGCCAGCTGCACCTCGCCGCCCCGCTCGACGGTCAGGGCGCCGCCGCTGTCCGCCTGGAAATACACACAGGTCATCGTAAGGTCAACTGTGGACTCCGGCTCGACGGTGAGGGCACCACCGCTGTCCGCCTGGAGCGGTTAGCTGCCTCTTTGGCTAGCAACCTCTACCTATATTTTAACTTTACTATACCTAGCAATGGGGTGCCGTCATTTTTTCTTCGTCACGAGCACGACATTGAACACGTGTATGACTTTTAATCACCAATCGGTACGCAGCTGATTATTCTATCTTTCTTATTTTATCGCTTGTTTTTTTTCTCTCTCTCTCTCTCTCTCTCTCTCTCTCTCTCTCTCTCTCTCTCTCTCTCTCTCTCTCTCTCTCTCTCTCTCTCTCTCTCTCTCTCTCTCTCTCTCTCTCTCTCTCTCTCTCTCGCTCTCACCTGACAGCTATCCTTGCCGCCCTCCTTGTACCCGGCGCAGATTTTGCCGGCGGCCACCTTGATCTTCTTCTTGGCCTCGGTGAACCATTGCTGGCACGTCTCGGGGGATAGGATGGGCAGCTCAACCCAGTGCAGCGTGTCGGGACGCTCGCCGCCTGAGGTGCAACACGGCACACAGAAACGGTCAGAAACAGTAGCGGCGGAACACCTTCAATTAAAGGGGGGGGGGGGCACTGCCGACTTTTGGTCCCATTCTTTCCATGCAACGCCCATAAAGCTAATGTTATGTAAAATGCCAAAATCAAAGGGGGGCGCGGTGCCCCGGTGCCCTCCTCGGGAGTGGGAGCGAGTTCAAACATCATTTTTTCATTCAACTAGGTACATAATCCTCGTGGAAATGCTATGTAAATAACGTTTCAATCCATCAAAACGGTTTGATAAATAGCATTTGTTTGATAATCAAGTTCAGGGTAACTAATGCTTTACTCAATTCAATGATTCAAAGTCAACCGGAGGTCGTGCTCAAACATCAATAAATGAAAAAAATAGCTTACCATCCCTCCATTCGTCGAGGTAGCCCCATCCGGCAATAGTGCCCTTCATGCCGACGAACTTCTTCGTCCCAGTTGATGGCAGGCAGACGGGTTGAACTGCACCGTTCCAGCTTATCTGCAATAGGCAAGCAAATAATACGCTTACTTATTTAAAAAAACATCGGTAACGATAAGAACCACTTCACTTGCAAGACATCCTCTGATCGAATTCGTCGCCACAGTTCTGATCTGAAGAGTCAGATCTGTATGACATCGAAGGACGACAGAAGCTCTATATGATAAAGTCCTGTTAAGCACGCCAATGTGCCCAAAGTCATTTTAACCATTCAACGAAATCTAATTTCTTAACAATGTTCAAACGGTGATATTCAAATAGCATTTCAAATAACGGTGCTATATATGTAGTAATTCAAACAAAATCTGTGATTTCTGCCTCACGACCGAACACCATGTGACTAACCTTGTTCTCCAGCTTGAGAAGAGCGATGTCGTTATCAAACGTGCCGGGATGGTACCCCTCGTGAATGATCCGTTCAGCGACGGCGATGGTGACCTGACCCGGCTCGACCTCGGTCAGGTCATGACCTCCCAGGGTGACCGTGACCGCGCCACTCGGCTTGCCGACGAAGCAGTGCGCTGCCGTCAGCACGTACTCGTTGTTGATGACGGCGCCCATGCAGAAGTGAGCGCCGTTCACCTGCACGGAGGCCGACCACGGGAACTGGCCCCTGTGCGCCTCCTGACCGCCCTTGACCCGACCTCGGCGGCCAGACAACTGACGCACCCCGCACGGCACGTTGGCCACTGCAAGACAACCGGAAAATGGTCGGTCACAAACCGGCGTAAGATTAGCAATAGATTTACCAAAAATTAGCCAATTAACCTACCGTCTTAATAACCATTAGCAACATTTTTAGTTATAAATATTGCCGCCGTCTATAAAATATAAAACAGTATATATTCTATGCAAACACTGCCAAATAACTATACCAACGAACTATAGGTGCATGTAATATTGCTTTTCAGCTTCAAAACGTTTTGTATACCATACGTTAGTTAAGGTAGATACTGGGTCGTATACTCACGGTTCATTGCTGATATTCCAGCTAGACACATCACTGCCACCGATAGAAATGCCACAAATCGCTTCATATCTCTCGCACTGTCACCACTCCTTCAAAAGCGAGCTCAGTGTCCTGTGCACCCAGAGTCCTTCGGCCAAGTGACAACCTCACACCATCGCACCCTTTTTTAAACAGGCCCGCATCACACCGCGTTTGCATCGAGGACTTGACTCAAGGTCGTTTCCGATCCATTTGGAAGTCGTTTTGCAGCGGTGCGCAGTGGCTTCCGGTGCTTCCGGCTGGGGAGGGGGAGGGGGGGGGGGCGCAGAGGGGTGACTCTCCACTGCGCCGTGGTCCGTCCGTCACCATGCCCCGCCTCTGCGCAGCAGCAGGTGGCTGATGGCACCCCTGTGACCTTGAACTGGCCGTGAAACCTCAGGTGGGGGAGGGCAGAGGTCAGCCCAGGTCAGCCGCACCGGAAGCCAGCCGTCTGGCCCGCTCTGCCGGCGGAAATGCCCGTCTGGCTCTGTGTTTACGGAAGTGGAGGACACTATTTCCGGTAACTGTGCGTGTGAATGGGATGGGGGAGTGGCAGTTTATAGTAAGTCGGATTGTACGTCATGTTATTTAGACTGGCACTAAATGAAAATAATTTCTGTCCATTAATTAAATATTGGCTTATTATTAGGTAACGTCGATATTCCCCGATACATTGGCAGAAATCATGGCGTTCTGATGTAGGTAGGCAGTTTATTTTAGACACTTTTGAAAAGTGTCTATTCTGATTCACCGAGCATACCTATTCCTGCAGCAATACGCAAGTCTAGAGCTCTTTAGATCAATCGCATGGAGTCAAGGGCGATGTCACGTCGAATTCACTTTATTTTCATGCATTCAGCATTAATGCACATGCATATACCTGCATACATACACCTGCATCCATCCATGAATTTATATACAAAGCATTAAATTACAATTATTTTGCTCATTATATGTCTTATTTCGTAATGACCCCACAATGCACATGTCGCTGCCATTTTCCTGTTTTCCTCTTCGCACCTCATAACCTTGGAAATGCAGTCTGATAAGCAGTCCTCACTTCTCAATGCCCTTTAAACGCATCATGACCTGAACCAAGCCACCTAAACCGGAACTGCTTGCGACTTTCACCACAGCGGCGGCGTAACAAATCCTCTCTCTGTCCACCCCAGTGACTGCTCCCTGTCGTCCCCTCTGCCCTCCCAGCGGCCGTAACTAGCTGCGCCGGTCGCCCCTGCCGCCCCTGGACGCCCGCGTCTTGCTGACAATCCACTCGGTGAAGAGGTGTACGTCCGTGTAGATACCGGGCAGGTTGGGTCGGGCGCAGCCGATCCCGGCCGACACGACCCCGACGAGCGTGTGGTGGCCGCCTTCATCGGTCACCAGCGGGCCGCCGCTGTCACCCTGAACGGAGACGGAGGGCCGTCACAACCGGCTCCGGACTGTCCCGCAGGAGCTAGATGTAAGTATATGCAGAGGAGTGGCTGTGGTTTACAAGTTGAGAAGACCAACGGTTGTCTAAAATTTGTACCTAGTTGAAAATGTATAACTTTATAACTTGAAACCAGATGGCGTTTGCTTTATAAAAGAGGTCTGCGGCACAGCATACCTGCAGGCGCTCTGCTAGTGCCATCTGTCGGCGAAATATTTATTTACCAATCACTGCGGCACAGCATAGCTGCAGGCGCTTTGGTAACTAGTGCCATCTAGGGGCAAAATATGACATAAGGATGTCTTGCGGCACAGTATCACTGCCTTCACTGGAAAGTGGAAACGTGTAGCCTGGCGGTGTAGTGCGGAGATGTTACACCTGCAATCTGCATAGATTGCATACACAGTATGCCGCGCGGGGCTGGGGGGTAAATTTTACCCCCCTCGCGAATTTTTGCAATATCTCAAAAACGGCGGCGCGCAGCGCCGCCAAACTTTCAGTACCTTTTCTTACATCAATTTGACACGTTTCCTGAAAATATGAGCGAAATCCGTCGGAAAATGTTTGAGAAATTGACGTTTTAGTGACGTCATGTTCGCCATTTTCGCCTCAAAAACGGCAAAAGTTCAAACGCCGCTAACATCTTCATTTTTAAAGGAATCAAGACGTAACATAAAAGGTTATACGTAATTCTACTTTGTCTATCAAATGGCTATCTCGTTTTTTTTTTTTTGAAAATTTTGGATTTTGGCCCAAATTTTTTTCAAAAAACTGACTTTTTTGGGAAAATAATTATGAAATCCAAAATGTTGAGTGTATCGAAAAAACCGGAATATATGTATGTCAGAGAAGTGGTCTATGTGCACCTACATACCAATTTTTAGAAGAATCGGTTCAAAAATGTGGGAGTTATTCAAGATTTTATGACGTCACGTCACACAAAATTTTTGAAAAAAATGAATTTTTTGGAAGTTCTAGACCTCGTACGGAAACAAAAATAGCACCATTCGTTTTGCCGTGAAAAACTGCATCAGAGATAGACACCTTTTTAGGCCTTAACAACCAACTTCAAAAGTTGACCTCACTTGACCTGACCTTGACCTGACCTCGACCTGAAATTCATCCAGAGGTGGTCCATATCACTTATTGAGTGTGCCTATCGAATTCTATGAGTAAAATGACCCATAAAACATGTGTCGCACATGCCCTTTTCTATATTTTGTTTTTTGGTGACCTGACCTGACCTGACCTGACCTTGACCTTGACCACTGAATGATACTGTATGCAACAAATATTGTCTTGGTAGCCTAAGAACACGTTTTGGGCAATCAGTCTCAGTCGATGACTTCATTCTTCGGCAACTACGGTACAAGGCCGATACTGTAGAAACTTGCAATTTGTACCCTTGACCTGACCTTGACCTTGACCTCAAACTTTAAATTAAGTACATGTTTTTAGTAGTTCGTGATGAGATCTTTCGATTGGCGTTTGATTTTTCCAAATCGGACCATTAGTTCGGGAGATAACAGGGGGGGGGGTAAAATTTACCCCCCCCCCCAGCCCCGCGCGTTCGGCTGGAGACCCCAGCCCCGCGCGGGTTAAGCAAAACGTTTAGCATTTGACCACGGCCGTCCATATTCACTTCCAGATCGACAAAATAACGCTGGACTGTATCGGTAGTGCAGCTTATATGGCGAGCTTTTATAGCCCTTAGTGCCAACTGGAGTCAGTCGTGAGATGACAGTCACACCAGACTGAGTCCTCACCTGACAGCCGTCCTTCCCGCCGGCCTTGAAGCCGGCACAGATCTGACCACGACCAATGTGCACGCGCCGACCCGCCTCACTGAACCAGCCGGAACACGTGGCGGGCGCCACGAGCGGCACGTGCACGCGCTGCAGCACGTCCGCCTGCTTCCCGCCTGTGGGAGAATCGACACAGCCACGTGTGGAATGTTACATGAACATTGAACAGTGAACACAAAGAACCATGTTTGATCACGCGCTCTGAATATAAGTCAAATAAATACAATGTAACCACAGCCCAAATAGTGCTCAGTAGCCACAGTTTTCCACAGTCAACAATCACCGTCTATTTGAAGTGTAATGTCATCAATTAGCACTGCTTTAATCATGTCCCAAGTCTGACCTTTGAGGTGTTCGCCGAGCCAGCCCCAGCCGGCCACGGTGGCCGAAGTGCCGTGAGACGGCGCCTGACCGACGTCGGGCAGACACACCGGCTGACGGTATTGGTTCCAGCCGATCTGAAAGCACACACCAGGGTCGAAAGAGAAAGTTTTCACAAAACAAAAAACAGATCGGGATATGTGTGTGGGCAACGCTACCAGCATGAAGCACCATGCGCTTCAAACATCAGCTGATGCACAGGCCACAGTGTGCATCAAAAGGACACAGACAATTGTGATAATTATGTGGAAATTATATATTGCGAGGCTCTCCCTCCGGCCTCCGGTGTGCCTGGCAGTCCAATAAGATCCACGTTTCCACTCCGAGCAAAGCCCGGTTACCTCTCCTCCGAGTTCGAGCACGGCGATGTCGTTCTTGAAGCTGGGGTAGCGGTACTTTTCGTGCGGGAACGTCCTGACCACCGGGAGGCGCTGCTCAGAGCTCTCCTGTTTGCTCAGGGTGTGCTCGCCAACCACCACGGAGAGGCTCGGCTGCGGCCGGCTGGCGAGGAGCAGTGATTAGTTACGGTCAACTAATTTAAAGACGTTTAGTTTGTGCATAGCAAAGTCCATTCGTTATAAGTCTTTTACGACTTAGTGATTACTTAGACGGGGATTGAAGAACGACACAGACGAAATTCGCCGTCTTCATTGAAATGATCTACGGTAACAGGCCAAGGAAATTAAGTTACAGGCTTACGAATAGCGTATAACAAGTTAGGGTAGGTAATTGAATGAAATAAACCGCTGCCAAAGCATATTCCACATTGCAAGCCTTTCTATTGTACGTTCATTATCAACTCCTGTTAATACATTTGTGGTCCAAGCTGAACTTATCTGGTGTAATACCGGATATTTTCACATAGTGCACTTACAGACGCTTTGACCGTGATTTTTCCAGGCTGATTTTACACGCGACATGACCGTGAAAACTGATCCTTCCCGAGACTTACAAAACCACAAACACTAAGACCATGGCTATATTGAGCTACAGACCTTGAACATTTCTTATAAATGGAACTGGGACATGCTTTGGACTGACTGTTCAGACATTTAAGGGACTGGTCACCGATTGACAGTTTGTATGAACGTGCCACTTTTTAGGTCACAATACTTACAGGGATTGATCTCAAGCTTATCGACGCTATTGTTATGCATAAAATTAAGCTTAAAAACTACTTGTAGACGACGGAGCAACGATGCGCGAGGAATGAATCGCTACAACACATTGTTCCCTTCCGTTGATGCTGGCGTTAAGAAAAGCATTTACTTACGATAGACGACTCAAATGTCTGCGAATGTGATTAGCAATACCTTGGTAACGACCAATAGGTACTCTTGATAAGTGCCTACACTAAAAAGTATTTTTCTTTGGGCACAGCTAATGTAGTGCGGGTGCGGTGAAATTCCGGCTAGATAGGAGATAATATGCGAAAGCCGTGTATTATGTTTTCGTTCTTCAGGCTGGTTTATAGCTTAACATCTGATATATGTCGAAGCGTGGCATACTGCATAGACCGGTATGAATAAAATCACGTTTCAACATAATCCCCTGAGACGTCGCTCGCGGAGGGCACTGACCCGTGCAGGCAGTGGCTGGCCGTGACGACGTATCGGCTACTGACGATGCTCGCGCCGCACACGTGTCGGCCGTTCATCTGAACAGAGGCGGCCCACGGGTACTGGCCCGGGTAGGCCTCCCTGCCGCCCACCACCTTGAAGCGCGCCGCCAGAATCTGGCGCTGGCCGCAGGGTACATCCGCCACTGTCGGCACACAGGGGCCAGCTCGTGGGAGGTTCATCAACGGAACACGGCCAACAGTCTCTTATAGGTGTCTTGGCAAGCACTACGTTAGAAAGGCTGGCTGGTAACGCTAGATAAAACAATGTGATGTCTGAGTACTTTGATGTCTGCAGATATTTTAGGTAGGCTGAAGACGAATTCACAATTCAGCTCATCTTAGGACTTGGAAGGATGTAAAACGTGCAGGTCAGCCTCCAAGTGCATGATTCTGAAGCGCTTTTCATGTAAATGCTCTTCAGAATGCAGCATAGCAAGATGGATGGAGAGCCTGGTTGAACATATTTTATGGACATAGGTTATAGGTAACCAGTTTACAAATCTGTAGGATATGCAATGACAGTCCGCAAAAAATGAAGCCTATTTTACTTCGAAGTCAAGAATGACGCTTCCGTCGGGAGCAAAAGTAGGACGAGTAACAAACAGGTCTTTCATGCGCCATTTGCGTATGAAGAACGTGAAGAACGTTTACATCCGACATTCCCTTTATTTGCATAATGCCGCAGCTGCTCAGGGAATATCTCCAAGAAAAAATAAGGCAAGAACAATTGATTCATTACTGAATACTCAGCCAAGTGATTTTGTGCAATAAACACGATCTAAGTTATCGTCTCAACTGCAAATAAGCCCTTCGAGGTAGGTATAGCTTACGGTTAAGTGCATCCACTTCACAAGCAGCCATCAAAAGAGTCACCAACGACACGATTTGTCTTGATTTCGCCACCATTCTAATCACCGCTCTGTTTCCACGCTGGAACCACCGTCGCACCGACGGCGGGAGGCAGGGCACGACCACCACAACAGGCTCGACTCTGCAGTGTGCTCCATACTTCCCACTCTTAAATGCCGCTGACGGTTCTCGACACGCCTGCCGTCCTGCAAGGCCACCCACAGCACGTGACCGTCCCCGTCTTACCCCCCCCCCCCGTCACTCAGTGTCGGTACGACACGGGAGCCTCCGTCAGTCGCTGTTTTTCATGGAACGCCGAGTCAATCTGCGCGTGTCAAGAGCGTGACCTTGGTGACCTCTTCCGCGTAACGCAGGCTCGTTCTGTTCTCTGTCCTTTCCCTCTGTTCTCTGGTCAGGAAGCGTCCTATACTGGCCGGGCTTGCTTGTTTGTTTATAGTGGCAGGTAAAGGCCCAGGTTTTTACATTGATTGTATGGACCCGTGTTGGACAGATGGGTCAGGTTGATGTGAATGGTTCCATCGTCCAAGGACAGGCATTGTGTCGGTATTACGCACATGCGTGTGACAGCCGCCCACAAAGTGCTGACATGAGGCAGCGAAAACACAATCATGACACGAAATGAACGACAGCAAATTGCGTTTTAATGTGCTGATGGTTTTGAATCTGCGCTAATGCTAATGCTGATAAACATGCCCGTTTACTGAGAAGGATAACACAGCACATAGGGTGGACGCATTTCGTCGCTGTGACTTTATCAACACCCTTTCGGAAATAAAAGCAATACAATTATTTGCGGAAGGGTGTTGATCAAGTCATAACTCGACGAAACGCGTTTACCCTATAGTGCTGTTTTATCCGTCTCATAGGAACATATATACATATATTTGTCCATTGCTGCTCAACATGCCCGTTTGTTTACTACTTTATATCTGGGTAGGCGACAAATTGAATGAACTTACCCCGCGTTCGATGTCTCTCGGACGGCGAAGATTCTATGCCGTCCGGCCAATCACGTTCCAGAACTGCAGCCGAGCCCCCGCTGACCTTGGACGGGATTGGCCGGACGACATAGAATCTTCGTCGTCCGAGAGACATCGAACGCGGGGTTAGCTTACCCATGCGCCATGCTTAGGTACCTATAGGTAGGGTAGGTACTATTGTCCACATGATCATGCAGCTCAAGTCACTTTGCTTCGCTAATCGCTATTTATTAGATTCACAATTCATATATTTATGTATATAAGTATTTACTTTTTATAGGTATACCTATAGGTAATTATACCTTTATAATGTTCCACTGTAACGCCCACCCGATAATCGTGGTTAGTGGAATAAACGATATAATAATAATAACATTTATATAGGTACTAAATCGTGACCCCTAAGGATACACTGAAAACAATTTAACCCAAGGCCGGCGAGTAAACCGGTGTTTCACGGGTACCCCTATCCGCAACCATTTTTAACCACCCTCCCAGGAGAAGTGCTAGGTCCCATTGCGGTGTAGTCGTACTTGCTCTGAGCGGATATAACCGCTGTCAGCGAACACATCCACTGAGAGCAGGGACGACTACACTGCAATGGGACCTTATTGTACTCCTGGGAGGGTGTTTAAAAATGGTTGCGGATAGGGGTACCCGCGAAACACCGGTTTACTCGCCGGCCTTGGGTTAAATTGTTTTCAGTGTATGGTACAAACATTGAAGTAGTTTTGCGGAGTAGCGTAGATCCTATACCTATAAAAATGAGGGTGAACAATAAAAAGAAAACGATAGGCATAAGCTACCTATCAAAAGGCGACATAAGCGCTGATGCTACGCAAACCGTTCATACATAAATCATGCTTAGGTACATAAAGGATGCAGTGGCAACACGAGTTCTTCCCCGATATAAATTTCGCTGCCCATTTCTATCGACCCTTTTACCCGATGCTTGAGAAACGGGCCAAGACGGAGCCCATCATTCATTATTGTGGAGTTGGTGAAAACGGAATACGTTCGAATTTACATATTGCATGTCGAGCTGCTGCGTGCGACTGTTCTGACTTTTAATAAATAAATAATTACATACAGTCATCTTAGCTTCCTGCTAGCTGTAGAGTACCTATAACTAGTTACATTCAATGTCATTTACAAAGGGCACTGTACAAAGGGGACATATTACAACGATCTCTGACGAGTGATGCAACATTACATAATGGATGGAGAGCCGCTAAACTGGGTTAATATTCCGTTGTGTAAGCTGTGATGCGCAAAACGTCAGCCTAAATCGGCTTAATAGGCACGCATGCAGAAAATTACCGTGATGTAGGTATTAACAAGTTTTCACTTCAGAATATAGCGGAATAAATAGTGATCACTACAATGCATTGAATTATTGCGTGTGCTGGGAATTACTTCCTCACTGCTATGACTTAGGATACAGCAAACGTCCTTAAAACTTGCGCCTTTCATTAACACATTTATTTTATTTCATTCGTATGTTTTTGCTAATTTCTTTCTAACGTATTCACGTTAACATGCTAGCACGTTGCAAAGCTTTATTTGAGGGCGATTTGCCCGGATGCCCCAGTTTCGTCTTCCTCGGGTGCTGCTGACAATCTGAAGGCTATCTCGCCACTGGCCTTTCTGCAGAAAAGCTGAGTCTGCAGTGTAGCTGACCACAAGTGCCGACTTCCACGGGTTTATCAGCGCAAAGCTCATGTTTTGCGACGCCTCCTTCCTGCCTCAGGACCTTGGCGAGCTGGACATCCCGGAGACTCCCGTCGGCTTCCTGCAGTCGACCCTGGGTAGTTCGCGGCCAGACAGAACTCCTCCTATACCGTTCTCTGGAATGCAGCCTTGCCCACCGCCCGTGCTACCTGTTGCTATACTAGTGGTTTAGTTTGATCGCGTTAGTTTACGATGTTTTCCTGTCGAGCCTTTTACCACGGAGAAATAAAGCTTTTATGTAATTATTTGATCAGCACTAGGTTGATAGTCAACTACTGGACAACCAGTTCGCTGAAAATCTGCTTATTTCGGTTGGGTTGTGACTTGTGAGCTTGTACGAGTATGACTATTATCCAAAACAACGAAACGGAAACGATTAGCCATTGCCACTGTGGACAATGTTTGACGGGCGAGGGCCTTTGTGCATCTCATTCAAAATCAATACGGCAGTGCCCTGCTCATTCAGCGCTGATTGCTCATATTTTCATATACGCCCTCAGCAAGCGACATTCGTCCCATCTTCTTTGCACCTACCTGTGGCATTTATCATCAATCTCTATCGGGAACGCGCCAGGCAACAGACACCCGCCCATGCGTGAGACGGGTGTGGGAAGCAGCGACGGTGGGCGGAGCCCTCTGAGGTGACCCTGGGCGCCGGCGGCGGCGGCGGAGTCTCGCGGCGCTTCCTGCCGCTCCCCTGCCGCTCACCCCCCCCCCACCCGCACAGAGCGCTGCCCCACTGACCCCGATCAGGATCCCTCCCCCTCCCATCCCCCTCGCAGCTCATCAGTAGAGCTGTGATTAGCTTCAGCTGATAGGTTTGGAAGTCAGGTCAGTGCACAAATGTGCATGATGGTCGCAGCAATGTCAAATTATTGCGTATGCTCTCTGCAGGGAATGCTGGGCTTTGCTGATGACAGTTGTATCCCGTTAGAAGCTCTGTTCCGTTCGACTGGAGACGGCAGCGCTGAACGAGTTGTGACACAAGTAGGCAATAGCCGTTTTCACGACGGCCATCTGGTACACTCGGGGGCAGATTGATGTTCCACAACTCTTTATCCACCGGGTTCCTATGGCTTAGCATTGGCAGCAGCCGCCTGGTACCGGTAGACTGTGCCGCTTCACTTACTTGTCAAGCGGCACAGCCTACCCACACCGTATGCCACCGGTCTGGGTCGCTGGATGTAAGGCGATGTGGGCCGCCTGTGACGTCAGCGCAGCGGTGAGGGCCGAGCCCGGAGGCATGGCTCGGGTCGGCGCGGCGCGGCGGCTGGCGAGGGCTGGGGAGTGAGGTGGGGTGGAAGCACGGACCATCGCGCGGCTGAGCGAGTGTAGTTAACCCGCGCGGGGCTGGGGTCTCCAGCCGAACGCGCGGGGCTGGGGGGGGGGGTAAATTTTACCCCCCCCTGTTATCTCCCGAACTAATGGTCCGATTTGGAAAATTCAAACGCCAATCGAAATCTCTCATCACGAACTACTAAAAACATGTACTTAATTTAAAGTTTGAGGTCAAGGTCAAGGTCAGGTCAAGGGTACAAATTGCAAGTTTCTACAGTATCGGCCTTGCACCGTAGTTGCCGAAGAATGGAGTCATGGACTGAGACTGATCGCCCAAAACGTGTTCTTAGGCTACCAAGACAATATTCGTTGCATACAATATCATTCAGAGGTCAAGGTCAAGGTCAGGTCAGTTCAGGTCAGGTCACCAAAAAACAAAATATAGAAAAGGGCATGTGCGACACATGTTTTATGGGTCATTTTACTCATAGAATTCAATAGGCACACTCAATAAGTGATATGGACCACCTCTGGATGAATTTCAGGTCGAGGTCAGGTCAAGGTCAGGTCAAGTGAGGTCAAATTTTGAAGTTGGTTGTTAAGGCCTAAAAAGGTGTGTATCTGATGCAGTTTTTCACGGCGAATCGAATGGTGCTATTTTTGTTTCTGTACGAGGTCTATAACTTCCAAAAAAGTCATTTTTCAAAAAAATTTGTGTGTCGTGACGTCATAAAATTTTGAATAACTCCCACATTTTTGAACCGATTCTTCTAAAATTTGGTATGTAGGTGCACATAGACCACTTCTCTGACATATATTCTGGTTTTTTCGATAGACTCAAAATTTTGGATTTTATAATGATTTTCCCAAAAAAGTCAGTTTTTTGAAAAAGTTTAGGCCAAAATCCAAAATTTTCAAAAAACCGAGATAGCCATTTGATAGACAAAGTAAAATTACGCATAACATTTTTTGTTACGTCTTGATTCCTTTAAAAATGAAGATGTTAGCGGCGTTTGAACTTTTGCCGTTTTTGAGGCGAAAATGGCGAACATGACGTCACTAAAACGTCAATTTCTCAAAAATTTTCCGACGGATTTCGCTCAAATTTTCAGGGAACGTGTCCAATTGATGTAAGAAAAGGTACTGAAAGTTTGGTGGCGCTGCGCGCCGCCGTTTTTGAGATATCGCAAAAATTCGCGAGGGGGGGGGGGTAAAATTAACCCCCCCCAGCCCTGCGCGGGTTAACTTTCGCGTCTCAAGGCGCCAATTATTCTACCTAACAATTGTGCTAAAGCAGTTGTTAAAATGTCCTATCCCCAAGACAGCGCCTATCATCATACTTGCCATGCACATTACGACACACTTAAACGTGACATTGGGACAGCCGATAGAATTTATATCACACGTGCATCGAGTTGCGGAGCTACATTGTTTTTAACAGATATGTATTAAGGCCTTGATTGAGCTCATTGGTGTCTATTATTTCGCACAGCAATCGTCCAGAGACGTGGGAACTGGGGTTTTTGGATAGCGCGGCGTCCCAACTCTTATGTTCCTCTAATGTGTGGTCGCAGCCACCAATAGCAAACCGTTCCATCTAGGAACAAATAAGTCGCGCACCTGGGACGGTTCGAACCGGGTTTCCCCAACCGGTCACCCCCTGACGCTAGCCTGTATCCACTGAGCTGCCGAAACCAGCGACCACCCGCCGCGGTCAAACGCGATCAAATGTCACAATACTGTCATTGGCGGTCAGCGGGTGAATGTCATTTTGTTTTGAGCGGACGAGGACCATTCTCGGTAGCTCAGTGGATGAACGCTCGTGTCGTGAATTGGCCGGTGGGAGAAGCCCGGTTCGAACCCCCCTGAGTGGCCGACTTTTTGGCTCCTAGTTGGAACGGTTTGATATTGGAGGCTGCGACCACATATTAGAGCAACAGTAATAATCGCTTTAAATTGGAGCGTTGGCTGCGGCACTACTCATAACCCCCAGTTCCCACGTCTCTGGACGATTGACGTGCGAAACAATAGACACCAATCTGCTCAATCAAAGCCTTAATACTAATATGTTATACAAAATACGAGTATAGCTCCGCACCTCGATGCACGAGTGACATAAGTTCTATCGGCTGTCCCATTGCCACGCTTAAGTGTGTCGTAATGTGCATTGCAAGTATGATGATAGGCGCTGTCTTGGGGATAGGACATTTTAACAACTGCTTTAGCACAATTGTTAGGTAGAATAATTGGCGCCTTGAGATGCGAAAGTTAACTACACTCGCCCAGCCACGCGATGTCCGTGCTCCCACCCCACCTCACTCCCCAGTCCTCGCCAGCCGCCGCGCCGCGCCGCCGCCGACCCGAGCCATGCCTCCGGGCTCGGCCCTCACCGCTGCGCTGACGTCACAGGCGGCCCACATCGCCTTCCAGCCACCGCGCCGACCCAGACCGGTGTCATACAGGTGGGTAGGCTGTGCCGCTTGACAAGTAAGTGAAGCGGCACAGTCTACCGGTACCAGGCGGCTGCTGCCAATGCTGAGCCATAGGAACCCGGTGGATAAAGAGTTGTGGAACATCAATCTGCCCCCGAGTGTACACATCTGGTGCACATTTGGTGCAGATTAGGTGCAGATTTGGTCAAATTAGGTTCAGTGTGTCTCTTCGTAGCTATCAGCTAGGGTTGCACTAATTGCTTATATGCCTGCTTTGTCATATTATCAGAGAGTATCATCGCTTAAAACACTGAAATAAATGCATAAAATAAAAATATTTGCCGTAAAAGAGATTAGGTGCAGATTTGCTCAAATTAGGTGCACTCGCCAGATAGTCCGTCGTGAAAAGGGCTATTGCCTCTTCAGGTTTCGTGGAGATGGGCTGCTGAAGCAGAATGACTTATACTTTTACACGCAAATATTGTTTTTTACGATGTGTTTTTGTTTTCAAAAACATACACGTCACTAAAGACACTTCCAGTATTCCTATATCAATCAAATACATCTATCAACACACACAATGCGATGCATGAAACGCAACTTATACGAAAAAACACCTTATTTAAGCTCTTCTTGTGACTGAGTTGGCAATGACTTGTCATGAATTGATTGGTCTTAGTTTGGGGCAACTAAAGGCTGAATGATAATCGATATTTACATAACATCATCTTGCAGTGTCTAAGCCTCACAGACATAAAGAGCACATGTCAAAAGCATATTCATTATGCACTAAGTAAACAGACTTATTCGTTAACCCGCGCCCCACTGGGGTCTGTGTATAACACGCCCTACTGGGGGGGGGGGGGGCTATTCATAGCCCCCCTCCTAACTCCGAAACTACTGGGCCGATCGTCAAAATTCAAACAGCGTCTGATAGCCCCGGAACAACTGTCGAGCGAAACCTAATTTCATTGACCTCGAGGTCACCGATGACGTCACAGGTCAGGTCAAAGTAAAAATTATTAGCATTTTGGCTCGTTCACATTTTGGGCTCTGGCCGCCGTCTTACAAGTCAGATCAGGCTCATTTTTGGTTTCCACACTCGTGAACAGATGCTCTAGATACCTTGAGGGTACCAAACTTGTACTTTGATTTTCAGGTCAGGGTCAGGTCATCACAGGTCACGGAAATATTATATCATGCGTCGGTCACGTGACACATGTTTTATGGTCCATTTAAGCCACAGATTTCGAATTTGATGTCTTCTGTGTCATTCGAGGTCATTTTGAGCCGAATTTAGCTTAGGTCAGGTCACTTTCAGGTCAAAAAAGGTCAAATTTTGAAGTTGAAAAATTTTTCAACAAAAAAGGTGTCTATTGGATGCAGTTTGAGCTCAGGAACACGATGGTGCCATTTATATTGGTGTACGATGTCAAATACGTACTGAAAAATTGATTTGAAAAATTTATAATTGTGAATTTTTTTTGCAATAATGCGTATAACTTTGCCATTTTTGAAGATATTTAGCTAAAACTTGCTAGAGTTAGTCATAATCATGCGTTCTGTCACATATATTCCGGTTTTTTCGAAAAGTCAAAAATTTTTTGAAAAAAATATAAAAATATAAATTTTGAATGTTATTATATAAAATTTTCAAAATTTTCAAAATTTTGAAAATCCGAGATAGCAGTTTGATAGCGCGGTCAATTCTGAGTCCTTTCATGCAAAGAAATTGGACCTAGCTTAAAAACTGAGCTCTTGGGAGCGATTGCTGTGGTTCAATGTTTTGCGTCGAAATCGGACGAACATGACGTCACTCTGACGTCATTTCCGGCCGACTTATGGTAGCTACGAAGTTCAAATTTTGACACAAGGTGTCAAATTGATGCAGCCGAAGGTACTGAAAGTTTGGCGTCGATCCGTCAAGCGGTTTGGAAGTTATTGCAGAAAAACGGGAGGGGGGGCTATAAATAGCCCCCCCCCCCCAGTGGGGCGCGGGTTAATCCATTGTCATGCCGTCCCCATTTCTATAACATAATACAGTGTCACTTCATGTAGTAAAGTTTATGACAAGCACGTTACTGACTTATCTACCCTTCTACAAATGCATAATACAGTGTTGAAGTACCGGACGTTCCTCACTGGCCACTCAACTCCAAACACTCAAAAGCAGGCAGGCCTGGCAATCGCACGCGTTCTTGGTATAAAAGTACTGGTAAAGAGTAGCCCAGGAGTAACCAGTCTTTGGCCAGTCTCACCTTCGGAATCTCGCTATACCAGCACATCAATGTTCGATACAAGCACAGCGTAGATCGCCCGTGTTAGGCCACGCTGGAAATAACACACACGCTGGAAACACACGGGAAATTGCTGCACTATAGAATGAATAAATTCATTTGATCACACGCTGGCGAAAGTTTGCTGTAGTTGCGCGGTGGGCTTGTGGTTCAAAGGCGTTGGTGATGTCATGAAGGGCCACGACTTCATAAGCGTTGATAAGCATGAAAAACTAACAACGAGAGTATCTTTAATGACTGAAGCGTCGCTGCTCTTCAGCCCAACAAACACTTGTTTCGTTGCCCAGTTTCGATTCTCAGCAATATCTCGCAATTCTTCAGCCCTTCCTAAGGACGGCTCAAGATCGTTGGCACCCGGCGCTCACCACAAGTCATTACAAAACGCCTCCGGTGTCCTGAGTCACAGACGAACAAACTCACGGCTTTACCACCACGAACTACCACTTCCAGGCCTCTACTGGCCGATAATATCGCTCGACAGTGTCATATAGCCGTTTCCAGGAAATCCAGCATCGGCTGAGAGCGCGTCCGGCCCTGAAGGAACGGCTCGTCAGGTCCCGGCGCGCCGGCCGCGTACACACTCATACCGCGCGGCAGATGGCCCATCGACACTGCCGCGTGCACCCCGCGCGAGCCGGGCGACGGCGGCCGCCGCACCTCGCTCATGTTCTCATAGACGGGGCCGATGTTCTGATAGACGGGGTCGACGCCGGGCGGCTGTCGGCGGGAGCGGCCGTAGGGCGGCCGAGACGGCGGCAGGACGGCCGTGTAGTTACCGCTCCCACTGTCGGCACACTGGGACTCAGTGGAGGTCTCGGAGACCGGCTGGTGAGGGTAGCCGCCGGGAGGATGGCGGGAGGTCTCGGAGACCGGCTGGCGAGGGTAGCCGCCGGCAGGATGGCGCGAGACCGGAACGGCGGCCGGCTCGAATCTGGGCGGTGAGTCCGTGGAGTCAGGATCGGAGAGCGGCGCCGAGTCGGAGTCAGAGTCGGGCTCGCTCGGCGGCGGGGTGTCCAGGGAGGGGTGCTGGAACGCTGTCCTCTGAGGGGTGAACCGAGCGTCGTACTCGGCAGTAGAGCTCTCCTCGTCGGTGCCGGCAGACGTCAGTACCACCGGGCCAGCGCTCGACGCGACATCTGAGCCCTGGCTCATCTGGCGGCCGGCAGATCGCAGCAGGTCACTCAGACCAGACAGGAAATCAACCAGCTTACGAAAACAGTCAAGTGTGAGAGCAGTTTTTAGATGTGGGATCCAATCTGATTAGGAGATCTCTAAAACACGCTAATAGACATATGAACTCTAACGATATTGAAAAAAAGAAATCTACTCCAACAGAGACAACGGCCAGGAATCATTCATTTCCCTTCACCCACCTTCCAAACCATCGTCTACCAAATCCATTAATCACTCCAACACACAGCTCACACCCATTCCTCTACCAAAACCCTCGCCCTGTCACCCAACTCACGGCCTGTTTGGTGCGTCTGACGCTGCTGACATCTGACGCGCTGCCGGACCTGCTGGCCGCCACCAGCGAGCGCGTGCTGCGCGCGCTGCTGCGCACGCTGCGCCGGCGCATCAGCTTCTCCGAGCGCCGGTGACGCGATTTGAACGCCCACAGCATCAGCAGGATGATCAGGACGAGCAGCGCGATCGAGGCGCCGGCAATGACGCCAATCACCGCCGGGTCGCGGAACCAGGAGAGCGGGTCCGCGTACACCATCGGGTCTGACGGCAGAGAGCGTGGAGGTTAGCACACCATCGGGTGTGTCCAGGAAGAAACAGGCAAAGATGGTGTAAAATGGTACGCATGCTCGGAGTGCTCACTCTGTTGATCTAAAAAAAAAAACAAAAAAAAACATGGCCTCAGGTGGTACGATTCTACACTTTTTCGAAAACTGATGATCCCTTCCCGAATGAAATCACAGGAGAAGGTCAGTACCGAGTCTACCCCCCCCCCCACCCCCACCCCGAGCTCACCCATTCCACAGAGGAAGGGCAGGTGCAGGTCAGTGCCGACTTTACCCACCCAACCTTCCCCAAACTCACCCATTTCACAGAGGAAGGGCAGGTGCAGGTCAGTACCCCTCCCCCAAACTCACCCATTCCACAGAGGAAGGGCAGGTGCAGGTCAGTGCTGACTTTACCCACCCCTCCCCCAAACTCACCCATTTCACAGAGGAAGGGCAGGTGCAGGTCAGTACCCCCTCCCCCAAACTCACCCATTTCACAGAGGAAGGGCAGGCGCAGGTCAGTACCCCCTCCCCCAAACTCACCCATTTCACAGAGGAAGGGCAGGTGCAGGTCAGTACCCCCTCCCCCAAACTCACCCATTTCACAGAGGAAGGGCAGGTGCAGGTCAGTACCCCCTCCCCCTAAACTCACCCATTTCACAGAGGAAGGGCAGGTGCAGGTCGCACGGTCCACTGACGACCCGCTGCTGTACGAAGTAGCTGCAGCCCTGCACAATGTCCAGGTGCTGCATCCACACCCGGTCCAGACGCCAGTTGTAGAACGGCTGCTGGCCGCGGATGAAGCCGATCAGCTCACCCGTGTGACGCTGCAGGTACGGCATCGACGCGTTGTCGCCCTGTGATGGAAACGGTTGGTCGATGCGGTGTTAAGGTATTCCAGCAGCTTCATGTCGTATTTAACTCCTTTAAGTCGCATTAAAAATATGCAGATACCTAAATCATAATTGATGAGGGTCGTTAAACCACACAAAATCATGCCAGAATGCCAAAGCGTACAGCTCGATTAGTAAGACAAGCTATCTAGCAACGAGGCCAGCCACGTTCATCACGTCTCATCAGTGAAGCGAACGCCGTATGGCCGCCCTCACCTGACAGAACTGTTTGGCCTCGGCGAACGTCATCGGCGCCGGCACGTAGATGAAACACGTGGTGTCGACCAGAGTCCAGCCGGGCGGACACTTGTCGCTCAGCAGCGAAAAGTTGTTCATGTGGAACTGACTGCAGGCGGACAAACGACAGGCTGGTGACGGAAGTGTGTGTGGATAGAGCACTCAGTAGAAAATGAGAAACTAGCGAAGACATCTGAAAGCAGAACTCGTTGATATCATTATCAGCAAGAATTACGACAGGACAATGCTATTGTACTTCTGTCTCTTAGCGCACGCTACCTGAAGTCGATCCGCAGCAGGCCGTGGAAGTCCAGTTTGTCCTTTATCCGTCCCTGGATGGCCCGAGTCTCGTTGTAGCCCCACCAGTTACTCCGAGCGTCCAGCGGCGTCTTCCAGATCTCGTACCTGGATAAATAACGAACAGAAACTCAAAAATATTTCAAACGATTCGCGTTACATATCTACATATAAACATGTATAAACATTGCTTGTGCCATATAAAACAAGCATGATAAGCTTATAAAACATTAATAATGCGGAAATAGCAAATTATCTTACGATCTCCATCGCTGTACGCAAATTTATATCCAGCTAAAAGAAAATATGATCAGCGATTTACGCCAGAAACTGACCTGTAGTTGGACATTTTCAGCTCCTCTCTGCAGGGAAAGAAACAAGCGTCAGCAAACACAAAATCAAAATAACCATCATGACAAGTACCCAATGACCTGTTACTGAAGTGTGCGTAAATTTGCACATCACCTACTTTATCGTATCTTCAGCTCGGTTTTAAGATGGTACGTACTGCGTGCGGTTGATGGTGGCCATTTCGTAGTCGTTGTCCTCGTTGACCAGTACGTTCTCGGCGTACCTCTGGCCGGCGCTGCTCACCAGGATGGTGGTACGGTTATCCTCGTCGGTAGCGTAGTTTCTGAAGGGGCGAGGCAGCACGTCGGTAAAACGGTCATATATGAATTGCGGGTGCTGAGCGAAACAACTACCAGCAGTTGTATATTAGTCGATAAATGGTTACTGAGAAAGTATATCAACATTTTCTTGCGATGCTGATTAGTTAATGTTGTAAATAGTTGATTGATGTTGTTGTTGATTATTGAAAAGTTGATTCATTTTCCCGCGATGCTGACTAGTTAATGTTGTAAATAGTTGATTGATGTTGTTGTTGATTATTGAAAAGTAGATTGAAATCAACTATTTCCCGCAATGCCATGCAAAATCATATCTAAAATCATCTAAAACCGTTTAAAAGCATTTTGTCATCGATGGATCCACTTATAACAAACGGCACTTACTCGTAGAAGCTGTTGCGCACAAAACTCTGATAGATGGGCAGATGGACGCGCTCAAAGCCAGTCACCTTCATCGTGTGAAAGCCGTTATTGTTATAGATGAGGTTGTGAGTAAAATTGGTAACAACCTGCAAAAATACATTAGAGTAACCAGGTGTATGGAATGTGTCTGTCATTAGAAACAACCAGTAAGACATTAGCTACGAAAGAGCAAAAGGTCATGCGCAATATAAACATTATAACGCATATAACTTCATAATCTTGTCACAAACGAACTGTCAAATTCACTGTCTGTCGAATAACGCTTCAACAGGTAACATATTTTATCATCCGCGTACCTGTGAAAACTCAATGACCTCGCGGTAGAAGCAGTCGGCCCTTGTGATGTAGTTGTAGTAGACGATGGCCTCCTGGTAGGGCGATGTACGCCGGCCCTCCACCAGCAGCGACGGGTGCTGCCGGGTGTCGCTGAACAGGTTGTGGCTGATGTGCGCCTTCAGAGCCGTGGCCAGACCACTGGAGTCAGCCAGCAGACGCAGGCCGCCCTGGTTGTACCGCAACAGGTTGTTCTGCAATCACGGAACACGTAACAAACGACAGGAAAAAAAAAAAATGGTCTGCACACTTGAACGGTGTAAGAACCATGAACATCCTGGACTCAAATAAAAAGACGGTGTTCTGCACACCCTTGAAGCTACTTAGTCTTGTTGGTTGTTCAGTTTCAGTCGTAACAATTCATGCAAATGGGATTTATAAAATGTTCTTTATATGGAAACATGCGTTGTAGCGACATCAAGCTCAACGAAAAATGTTCAGTGAGGCAGAACGCGTCGCTCCATATCCGTTTCCCTCACCGTGAAGTAGAGGTACTGCATGTTCTGGACGTCCATGCTGACGGCGGCGCTGGCCGTGCTGAAGTTGCCGTACATGTGCCTGCCGTTGTTGGTGATCCGGTTCCACTCCATGGTCACGGTGGGGTTGATCTCGCCAGCACCGACGTACGTCACAGCGCCGCCCTCGTTATCGAATATCTCCGAGAAGGAGATGTTGTGCATCACCTCACGGCCTGGAATGAAGCAAACAAATAAAGAACCACCATTCTTTGGTAGGCCAGAATACAGCACGAGCAAAAAAAAAAAAGAAGAAAAAACACTGATACGCTACTTAGTTCACACACATTTCAATCAAAACCACCTGGGAAAGTCAATACTTAATTTCATTTTCCTTTATCAGGTTGGATATGGTGTTTTTATCTTGCATCATATACGAAATATTATCACTAAAGATCCCTGTCGCATCAGGTTCAGGGATCGCGTCATCCCCGCAGCTCTCGCGTTCCACACTCACTGAAGCCGATGGAGGAGACGGGCAGGGTGACGACCTCTGCGATGAAGCCGTGCCGGCTGTGACCGCCGCTCGAGTGCCACTGCACGCTCAGCGTCGTCTCGTTGGTCGTGTGGAAGAGCACGCTGTCGGCGACGCTGGCGTACGTCAGCTCCGACATCAGGATCGACGTCACGTTCCAGATGTCGCCGTCAAACAGCCGGATCGAGTCGGGAGCCAGGTCAGGGAAGTCGCTCGAGTTGGCCAGGTTGAACTGCAGTAGCCTGAAAGCGAATACGATCATGTGAGAACAGAAAAGGTGAATAAAAAGACGCACATGGAGGCTGGGAATATATCTGCAATAGGTATTTTAAAAGTAGAAAAATCGTGGCAGCTAGAAAATAGCCGTTTTCACGACGGCCATCTGGTACACATTTGGCGCACATTTGGTGCAGATTAGGTGCAGATTTGGTCAAATTAGGTTCAGTGTATCTCTTAGAAGCTATCAGCTAGGGTTGCACTACTTGCTTACATGCCTCCTTTGTCATATTATCAGAGAGTATCATCGATTAAAACACTGAAATAAATTCATAAAATGAAGATATTTGCTGTAAAAGAGATAAGGTGCAAATTTGGTCAAATTAAGTGCATTCGCCGGATAGCCCGTCGTTAAAACGGCTAATGACAGCTAGTATCCAATATAAAAATTCAATCCAACCACACTGAGTGTAGGTAAGTGCTCACCGGAATCCTAGCGTCTTCACCTCGGCGGCCGATTTGAAGATTTTCACGCAGTCCACCGGTCTGTCGTCGTACCTGTAGTGGAGCAGCACGCGCTCCCGCACCACCACCTCCTTCACCGAGTCGCACACGTCCAGCATGCCGAACACGCTGTAGGGCAGTGTCACGTTCTGCACGGGCACAAACGAGCTGTGTCCCGCGCTGCGCGCCTCCCCGGTCAGCATCGCCATGCTCACGCCGACGCCCAGGTTACCGCTGACGCTGAGGTACAGCAGCTCCATGGACTGCTCGGGGCTGACGGCCGCCACGCCGTCGTCGAGGCTGTCGGTCACGCGGATGTGTTGCACGTCGGGCGCGCGGCGCACGGAGAGGACAGCTGGTGACGGCAGGCCGTGCTGGCGTCCGGCGCCCACCACGTCCACATAACGCATCACGGAGAGGGGCGCGTCCTCGGGCCTGCGCAGCGCCTCCTCCAGCCGGCCCGGAGAGAAGCGGACCCCTCCCCAGGCGCGGGCGGCCTCCACAGGAACCGGCGAGCCGCAGTCGACGAACACGAACGGGTCGAGCCAGTCACAGACGTACGGTGCGCCGGTCGGGTCCGGCTCCCGGCCGGTCTGCCGCAGGTGGCAGTCGCCGAGACGGCGCTCCTGGCCGGAGCACTGGATCGGCTCCGACCAGGAGGTGACCCAGCGCAGCGTCAGCTCGGTGAACTCTGTCCTCTGACCGCGTGCCACGTGCACGTGCACGTCGCTGAGGCCCAGCTGGCGGCACACCACCTCGGCGTTGCGGTCGGAGAAGTGCCGGTCACACACAGGCACCCACTGGCGCGTGGTGCGGTTGAACAGCTCCAGAAAGCCGTTGGAGCCCGTGCAGTTGCCCGGGGTGCAGAGACGGACGGGGAGCGGCTGGCGTATGGCCGCGCCGGGCGGTGGGTTGCGCCACTCCGGAGCGGTCTGGCCCACCGGACCGCCGTACTGATCCTCCGCCTCGCCCAGGGCGACTTCACGAGTGTCTCTTTCAGCTCGTGAGTTCCGTGACAAGTCACGAGAATTTCTTTCGCCTCGACGATTCTCCAACACCTCACTCGAGGCCCTCAACCTGCTCACACCCGGCGGCAAGCTCCTCTTCCGACCCTCACCATCGCCTCGCAGAGACACCGGCCTCATCACAATCCTTCGCTCCTCGTTGCCGATGGCCATCAGTCTTCCCAGCACCAGAAGCCCTACTCCCGGGTGGAACTCGAGGATGACGCCCGGCTCCAGGTGCAGTGTGCTTGTCGGCATCACAGTTAGGTCCGACCACACCAGGTACGGCTCCGGACGGCTCCTGAGAGACACGGAGTGGTAGTTCAAAGGGGTGTGTAAAACAGACATTCTAAGGAAGTCGTAAGAGTAAGAATGCTAGTTACTTAGTGCCAAAGTATGGACAACTGAGCGAAGAAAGTGATGGATGTTAATTGTAGACCCCAGAGGATCGAACTCTGAGAAGCGTAACACAGCTCTATTTCAGGCCATTCATTGCAGGGTTCAAACGATGACTAATTTAAGAACAACATAAGTGAGTACATTTCGCATCTCGGCATCGGCGCGCTGCACGCCGCCAACGTGAGTGCACGCCGTTCGTCTACCCACCTGAGCGTCAGGTTCTGTGTGAGTCTGCCGCCGAGTCGGTCCAGATCCATCGGGCCGTCCGAGCCCCGGTCCTGCTGCTGCGGCGCGCCCACATAACTCTGCGTCAGGAACGGACTGAAAGTCACCGGCACGTACCCGGCCCGGTCGTCAAAGTCGACGACCAGCCGGCGGATCTCCGCGGGCTCGCGGGTACCCCACCAGTTGCGGCGCGCGTCCATGGCGGTACCTAGGCCGGACACCCGACTGCCGGCCAGCAGCACGTAGCGCATGCCGTTCGTGGCCAGCACGTTGTCTGTCACGTTCACCGGCTGCACGCCGCGCACGGCCACCACGTAGCTGGCGAGGTCCATCTCCTCGCCTGACGTCAGCGGCGGAGAGTTGTCGCGGATGACGTTGCGCGTCACCTCGGCACTGACGTTCCCGATGACGGCTGTCTGGCTGTCGGAGTGTATATCGATGACGATGGGAGCCCGGTTGTTGCGGATGGTGTTGTCGGTGATGAGGAACTCCTTCTCCATGCCTGAGATGGCGATCATGGGTCCCGCGGCGGTGTTGTCTGTGAGGCTGTTGCCGCTGAGCTGTACCCGAGAGAAGTGTCCGCCGACGGACAGCCGGAGGTCAGAGTTGTGTCTGAAGGCGTTGTCGCTGATGTAGATGGAGTGGGTGAAGTTCTCGTTGTACTGCCAGACGTACGGCAGGCTCAGCTCGACGCCGCCCCGTCCACTGGAGGAGATGGTGTTGTTGTGCAACACCCAGTGGAAGAGGTTGTTGGACAGCCACAGGTTGCTGCGGGAAAAGAGATGAGCTTGTTGCGTGTGCTCGGATAAACACTGCTAAACGCTAAGAATCTACAAAGTAGCGCACACTTTTGCAGCGGAACGTCAGCATTCACTGAAGCTCCGTCGTAGTTTCATCAGCAAAATGATCTTGTCGTTTGCAATACCCAAAGGTCGTAAAAGTATAAAAAACAAGAATCAGCGCTGGGTACCTGAGCTCATGATAAATAAAGTACCTTCCAGGATCACGCCGGCACCGGGCAAAAATATTAGCTTCGTAGCTCTGAAAACCTTTTACTGACTTGGAGATCTGCTGGAGGCCGGCTCCGTTTCCGTCGATTGTGGTACGGTTGACGATGACGGTGACCTCGGAGATGTTGGAAGAGGTGACCTCGCGGAGCGGGGAGCGCAGCAGCACCGCCTGCTCGCGGTTACCGGTGATGGTGCAGTCGTACACCTCGATCGACTGGTTGGACCGTCTAAGACGCAGCTCGTGCAGGTCCCCGCGGTACCTGCGTAACGGTGGAGCGGGATAGTCAATAAAAACGGCAAGGGGTGGGTGCGCATAACAAATGAGGTGGCATCTGAGTTGAAACAAAAGGTGGTCTGCAATAACTGTGGATATGTGGGCCATGGGCTCATGTGCAATGTCATACATGTTAGCAACATAATACGAAGAACCTGGCATCTCCATCATGTCCTAATCATTTGAAACATCTGTTTAAAAAAAGTGAAGTCACACTTACGTATGTTTATTTCATAGGAAACTACCAAGGAAATCATAAGACTGTTTATCAACGAACAAGCAGCAATTGTCCAGCTGCAGCGGTTTGGAGAATCAAGAGTCTAAATCACCCATAACTTGAGCTGGCAAAAGTTTCGACTTTCGAACAAGTCCAAAGACCACCATCCGTGGTTCCCATTATCCGATCCAAAGGTCTCCATAGCATGCAAATGGACGTCCGATAACAACTGACTCGTGGACGGGTCAGGGTTCAAACGGACTCCAGCACAATGCCTCGTGCCACAGATACCCTCCAGCCGATAGCGGGCGCCCGGGCTGCTCCCTGAGAAGATAAGAGGCGAGTTGGGCCAGCGTACCCTAGACCACAACGACGCCAGTCCGAGAGAATCTCTACAAGTGAGTGGAACGTTCAGCACTGGTCTAGTCACTAGTGAAACTGGTGGTAGATTTGCTGTTGACATAAGAACGCTAAAAGTGACCGAACGCCAATCTCATCTTATCAAAATCATCTGGACATGGCCGACGTACACTCTGTGAACTCTTCGACAGCGCAGACGGACGTTCAGCAGCAGCTCGGCTGCGAGCACTACCGTCGGAAGGCGCGTCTGGTGGCGCCCTGCTGCGGCCGACTCTACTGGTGCCGACTCTGCCATGACGCCGCCGAGGTGCACACGCTGAACCGGTTCGAGGTGACGGAGATCCAGTGTGGTGCATGTGATCTTCGTCAGGGTGTGAGTGGCGCCTGCGAGCGCTGCGGTGTTCAGTTCGGGGAGTACTTCTGCTCCATCTGCCGGCTGTATGATAAGTCCCGGGACCAGTACCACTGTGAGGAGTGTGGCTTGTGTCGCGTCGGTCCGCGTGAGAAGACGTTCCACTGTGCGCAGTGCGGCAGCTGTTACCCCCTCTCCGAGCGGCAGAGCCACCAGTGTCGGCCGGCGGCCGCCCTGGACGACTGCGCCGTCTGCCTGGATGACCTGCACTCCTCGCGGGCCGCCGTGCACGTCAACAGGTGCGGCCACAGTCTGCACGAGGCCTGCCGCCAGCAGATGCTGCAGCACGGACTGTTCTCCTGTCCGCTGTGCAACGTCTCCATGCTGGAGATGCAGCCCGTCTGGAGGGAGCTGGACAAGGCGGTGCAGCAGACCGCGATGCCCAGCCAGTACCGACACCTTCTGGCGTCGGTGCTGTGCCGTGACTGTCAGGCCACCAGTGTGGCGCCGTTTCACGTGGTGGGTCTCAAGTGCGCCCAGTGTGGCTCGTACAACACGGCCCGCAGCGGAGGACCCATGTACCGCAGAGGGAACGGCGGAGAGCTGCTGCCGGCGACCGACGAAACGCGCCATGACGAACAGGTTATCTAGAAGGACCGAGGACAACACATGGGCTAGGCAGACCGGGAGGTCAAAGGAGAGACAAGCAAGGATCAGGCCAACTTCACAGAGCAGTATCTGGAGATCAGTAAGATAGGAAGAAATAACGCCGTCATCTGGATGAGCCCCGAAAGAAAGTTATGGCCCAGGGCCAGCAGAGGTCAGACAAGTCCAGGTCAACTAGACAGACACCGGTACCAGAGCCAGGTCACTGAAGACGACTGGGGTCAGTGTTACGCGGCGTTTCCGATTAATGGATTGATATTTCGATGTGATGATGCGATGTTGAGGTGTCGATGCCGATTTTTGTCGTGGTACCGTGATTTTCTTCCTGTTTCCTTTGGTTCTGGTCGTGATGCTCTCAACTAGTCTTCCTGTTTTCTTTGTTCGACATCATCGCCGCCGCGTAACGCCTCTCACGCTCGCCCGTCAGTTTGTCGGCAGATCATTAAGCAGTTTAGATTCCCAAAGCCCAAAATGCATAAAAGCAACAAGCTGTCGTGACTGACTAATTTTGTTAAAGTCTGAATTGTGTCAATTTGCACTCTCATATCTCGGTAAACGTTCAGTGCCTACGCATCATAGGTAAATTAAACCAAACAAAGCGCACCAATAATGCCAGGAAAACTCAATAGCCCCATTTACTGTTTCACTACAAGCACGTTACGGAACTGTGAAGACAGAGGGAGGGAGAGAGAGGGAGAGTGAAAGAGAGAGAATAAGAGTGAGTGAGTGAGTGAGTGAGAGAGAGAGAGAGAGAGAGAGAGAGAGAGAGAGAGAGAGAGAGAGAGAGAGAGAGAGAGAGAGAGAGAGAGAGAGAGAGAGAGAGAGAGAGAGTGGGAGAGAGAGTGGGAGAGAGAGTGGGAGAGAGAGTGGGAGAGAGGGAGAGAGAGAGAGAGAGGGAGAGAGAGAGAGAGAGAGAGAGAGGGAGGGAGGGAGAGAGAGGAGGCTGTTTGGTTTCGACAACTATCGCTTCGGCGTTCATGCCATAAAACGGCTAGCGGACACGACGAGTGATCACGGCCACACTTGTCCAAGTACCGGTTTCCTCTCGAAACTTGTCGACTTTGGTGACCTGATGAGACTTTGTTAGACGCGCGGAGAGAACAGGCTAAAGGCAAGTTACTAATTCGTTCGTTCCGAGCTAAAGTTGTATCGGTCAAGTACGTGTGGTGACACTTGTCAATTCTGTACTGGGTGGAACGAGACAACAATCACAATAAAATGACGCCTCGCCGGTCCTGCGGCGCGCGCGGCTCGGCGCGGCTGTAAAACGATTACCGATTTGGATTGTTACCAAGCGATGAGTGCAGTGGCACCTGCACACTGTCGGTCGGCTGTACTGAGAGCCGTGCTATTCTCTCTGGGATTGCGTATCGATTTCACTGTTCAGCGTCATAAACGAGCAGCTGGTGATGCTGTGCGACTGGTGGACACGCCCGGGCAATACAGGCCCACTCAGAGCGGTCATAAACAATATCGATCAAGGGTAGTTCATCTGACTTTTTGGCAAGTGTTTAATGGTCGGGATGGGCAGCTAGCATCATTATCTCTGGGCTTCCGCAACTGACATTATTACCTTCATGCACCTCTCGTTCATTATCCAGGTCATCCTGGAAGCAGCCTATAGCCCAAAATTGACTACAGAGTGGGCCTACTCTGAAGGCAATTAGGAGCTTCCGTGATGAGCTAGTAATAACCACATTCACACAGCAACCATACTTCGGAAGTGGATCCCAGAAATTAGTAGCCCCCTCCATGCGGCTAATCATGGCACCACCATACAGCCCCGTTACATGCGATACCACTTTGTCGTGACCTATTGCGGGTCACGGAACTCTAACCACCTCGGGAGTACGCCCGGAACATCTTCAATACCTCGGGAATCGCCCGGAATATCTTGCCACCTCGGGAGTACGCCCGGAACATCTGTAACACCTCGGGAATCGCCCGGAATATCTTACCACCTCGGGAGTACGCCCGGAACACCTGTAACACCTCGGGAATCGCCCGGAATATCTTACCACCTCGGGAGTACGCCCGGAACATCTTTAACTTGCTTGATCATACCGCTTCTTTTCTTCAACCCCCCACACTGGCCACCATTAGCTGATAATTTTTTTCATTCTCCGACAATTGGAAAAGTGTAATCCAGTCGATTGTGTATACCGTACCAACACGCTTCAGCTCGCTTCCATGGAGAGGTAATTACGGCCACGCATGGCCAGCCGTCGCTGTCTCATTTATGGGGGGGCAGTAAACCCAGCGCTCACAGAGCAGTCAGGAGATCTGGGCTGGTGCTGTAGAAACTTTACAGTAAATAGGCGTCACACACTATTACATGTGACCTAGAAGTGGACTCGTCGCATCTCTCACTGGCGCAGGGCATGATGTCAATAATGACAATTAGTAGTAATAATCTACCCCATTCGATATAATGGTAACGACTGGACTATTTCCTGGTAAGGGCGGCTGGTGTAACGCCAGGCCGTATATGTATCTCTTAACCACTACAATTGTTGTCCCGTAAATTAGTCGCTGAATAGAGGAATGGAGCCAACTGACAATGATTGTTTATCTTATTGACTTGGTCCCAAAATCGTTCGGTTATCTGCTGCACTAACAATTTACATAAATGATAACGATGCGGCGTCCCCTACTAAATGGCTGACGCTAAATAGGCGAACCGGCGCGCCTGGAATTCTGTTGAGTTTGGCGGAGTGATATTGACGTAGTTTACCAAATATGCCAGACGCACTGAATGTCAATTAGGTGAATGGTCCTTCAGCAAGTATAGGACATTACTAAATGATAATGATACGGCGTCCCCGAAACTAAGCGGCTGCGACTAATTGGGTGAACGGCGCGTCTGGAGATTACTGAATTAGGCAAAGTTATATTGACGTAGTTAACCAAATTTACCAGTCACACTGAATGACAATAAGAGGGTTCTTCAACAAGAACAACAGAACAGGTTGACAATAGAATAAATTGACTTCTACGTAATGCCCCTTTGGCATCAATTTCACTGCTGAGAGCCACTGTACCGAAATGTAGCATTCATCACAAAATGCTACAGCGGGCGTCGCTTTACGTTTTAAGGGGAAGTTAACTAGTAATAAAACTAGACACTATATCTGTTCCTGATCATGCGTTTTCTATGCCTGGGTTGCATCTAGAAAACGTGCCTTTACCTAGAAATAGTAAAGTTGGAAATCAACGTACTCCGCACTTAACCATGACGTATTATATGAAATAGAATGCAAAACGTTCAGCCGCAAAACATTGAAAGCGTGTATAGGGCGTAATTGACTGACAGCATTGCGTAATTTGCTTTGTTGGAAACGTAGGAGTTTAAATGATAGTAATAAATAATTAAGCCAGAATGGTTCATTGTTTTACATCGCTGCCCGTTCGCACGATTGTAACTACGAAAAAGTAGTACCAGGGGGGATTTTCAGTTTATGGCGGAAATTACCTGACATGTTTGCTTAAACTTCCGAAACTTCGTATAATAGAGCGCTCTGGGTTCGTTGTCAATTTGCAAGGTTTTCTTGGTGAAATAGTTAGTAATTTATAAGGTTGTCGTAACTTGTTTGTAACATGTTGAGAGGTTTCGTGGATTGTAATCACGATTGTTAGTAATTACGGTCTGTAACTCAAGTTTTCATTACTTTTCGTTATTTACTTCAGTTCTGTTAAAATCAGCCTTTCATTTTTAATTCATCAATAATGAACTTACTGCAAAGTTTCTGAGTACTACGCCATTGTAAAGTATGCTAGTACAAAATGAAATATGGCTCTCGTCAATGTAGGAGGGAATGTGGCGAAACATGTTTAGTTCGAACCGCGGAATTCAGTAAATCGGTAGGGCCGGTTACTTGAATCATTACTTCAAATCTGGGAAGGTGTTTCATTTTGAACCTCCTTGAGCTGCAATTGATGAATAAGCGAACTGAGACCTACTAGCAAGTAACAACTATCCGGATAATTGCGAATGCATACAGGAAAACCACCGTCAAATGGCATGCTGAGCTCTGAAGATTTTTTTTTTTTTAAAACAAGATGTTGATTACGGAAATTATCTGGTATTGTCAGTTGACGTCATCCAAGCGTTAGTATGAGCTAATGACGACAGGTTAATAGCAAAGTAATAAGAGGACAACCCCCAGATCCTCAACGCTCAAATCGACCCACTCCCCTTGATATTTGACCGAGATATATCATTTGTTAGCCTTGCTACCCAATTATAGACCACAATTTCTGAAACCCGATCTACTCTACTCATCTACCCGACCTCGTCAACCCATCGCTTCGATCATCTCCCTTTCGTTATAGCCCCTCATTCGCCATCATAGTCTAGTTTCGTCAGTGGGTTATATTGTATGTTACGTGCTAATTTCAGGAGGAGGGAGTAGGGGTGGCAGTTGGAGCACGACATATTTGACATGCACAATCCGCGTCATACACACGTGAATGCACACAGACATAAACTAACTTCAGAGCAAGCGAAGGCGTTATAGTGGGTACGAGATTTGCACAACTCTTTATAACGACGTTAACAGTACGCACACAAAATGATGCAGAAGTCTGAACTCCACGAGTAAGTGACCATTTACCGAGATATTTGAATCAATTGACAGATTCAGATTTTATGTTAGTGGGCCAAAAATAAAGCATTCGATAGGCTGGAGAATCTAATGCCGCCGAATGACCGGCGACGCGCTGCCGGACTTACATGATAGTTGTCGGTCGCAGGGGGGTCAAGAAGCCGACCAGTCAGCCCGGTATCGACGGCGATTCTCACACCGAACGATCACACACCGCGAATGACTGACAGTCCTCCAGCGTGAGTGAACGAATGCGTAGTGTCCCCGCGTCCGCGTCGCCGCTGCTTTTATAGGGAGCAGCGGAGCGAATCGATTGGAATCGATCGGCCCACACGGCTCGGAGATAGGGCAGCGTGTTACATGAAACTCGGTTCGAAAGAAAGTACGGCGTGTCACATCAGAAACAACCTTGGAAAAATTCCGTCCTCGGAATTTCGAAAAAAATGTGATAACATCGATTTCGGTTCAAAAGAAAGTACGGCGTGTCACATCAGAAACAACCTTGGAAAAATTCCGTCCTCGGAATTTCGAAAAAAGGTGATAACATCGATATCGAAAGAAAGTACGGCGTGTCACATCAGGACAGCGAGAAGGGACGGAGCAAGCAACCCAAGTGCCAAATCGGCTGGATGCCTCCCGTTTCATTACATAAAGGTTGGTGACCTATGAGACAATGAAATCGAAGACTCTTGAAGAATCTTGTTAAGACCAAGGTGCCTGTAACAGTCAAGACAGCACAAGTATCCTCTAAAGTATTTACAATTGCGAAACTGATTGTTACGCGAGTTCTTTAGCATGGTTTGCAGTGTTTTCCACATTTTCCTTTGAACATATGCCGTTTGAACTTAACGCCACGTGGCATCTGTGACGTGTCTCATTGTCCAATGTCCATGGTTCATGACATTCCGTGAGAACAATTCTGAATAAATGAGTGTCCGACGAGCCAGTAAAATAATCGTGACCAGCTGACTAAGTACCAAGTTTTGTGCAGCAGCGTACACATGCCGAACGGCGTCAGGTCCACGATACGACGGACATCAGCTGCGTCACGCGCCCCCAAACCGTGCTCACCTGTCGTAGAAATGCGCCGAGATGCCGCGTCTGTTGTTTTCCACGGCTGACTTGAAGAGTCTGATGCGGGGCGTTCTGCCCGGGATGACCATCCGTCGTAGCAGAGAGGTCGGACGTTCGTTGAGCACGTCCGAGCCTGCAGAGACAGACAACTGTGTGATCGCACACTGGAACGCCACACCCCGGGTCTCCGGAACAGGGATAAGTCCAGGATTAAAAATCGATTAGGTGAGCTTCTCAAAATAATGAACTCGCCATTTATGTTTCGTCACCGTTAATTAAAATTGAGTTGCGCAACAAAAGAAGCTTTGCTGGACCAAACATAGCGCCTGCGTTACGAGTTGCAAACTTCCATCTGCTAAGGGGCACATGATTATAATGTACACAGGGAGACGGGACAAAACACGGGGCTACATGGGAACCAGCTGTAGGTACTCACGTCTGACGGCGGTGAGCAGTAGGACGGCGCCTCCCCTGGTCCTCCCCGGCGCCAGGTAGCGTATGACCACCTGGTAACTGGACGAGCTCACCGGGAAGACCAAAAAGTCCCTCCGCAGCTGCCACACCTGCGTCGGGTCGGCAAAGCGTCAATGCCAGCGGCTAAACAGGACTATAAGAACACCTCAGTCCAGCAGGTCAGGTGTGAATGAATGTGGTAGAATACTTTAAACGTGTTAATAACCGAAATTCACAGACAAATCATCTCCCAGACAATACCAACGATACCTCGACATCGGGCTGTATCTTGTAGTAGTCGTAAACGTGCACGTCTTCAGAAGATTCCTCGGCACCCGGGTTCAACACCTGGATTCCGATGACGTTTTCACGAGCAGTCTGTCAGAGAAGACGTCCAAGCAAACTAATCAATACTAGTCACAGAAGAGCATAATAATATCACAGCACATTGCAAAGCAAAAGATGAGTTGTTTGGCAAACAAAGTAGACCCAGCGAAAGTTCTATCCCTGTGCATGGTCAGGGGATGCGTCTTTTATACTGACAAAGTTAGCATCACACGATGTCCGCATTGCCTCACCCTGACATTGAAGACTTTGTCCGTGGCCCGCTCTGTGCCCATGGTGATCAGGTAGACCGGCTCATCCTGCTTCAGCACGATATTGCTGTCGGCAGAGGGCAGCAGGAGCTTCCTCTCGGGCGCCTCGGCGATCCACCTGACCAGCTCCCTCTGCTCGGAGCGGCTCAAAGACGGCTCGTAGTGCAGACCCGACTGCTGGTTCCCCATCAGCCTACAATCTGAAACAGACGAGGAAGCCATGAGAATGTGTTCTAGTACCCATCGGACATACTGAGGTACTCGAGGTTACAAAGTAAGAGGCTGCTTAATGTATTGATAATGTTTTCAGAAGGCTTACGAACCCACCATCCGACTCAAGACGTTCTTGCTCATTCGTCCCAAGTATCACCAAATAACCAATCAGATCCATTCACACTTCACTGACCCAGCCTCAACAGCCCCAAAGAGCGCCCCAGGCCCAGAGGGTCTCCAAAACTAACCGGTCATATCCAGCCAAGCGGTTCGCATCGCGATCCCGTGGCCGCGGTTGTAGCGAGACTCGACGTGCTTGAAGTGGTTGACGTCGTCTATCTTGTAGATGTCCGAGTACATGATGCCCAGTCCGTCGCCGTCATTGTGACTCAGCGTCACATGCTCCAAAACGTGGTGGTTGAAGTCCAGCCGGAGCGCTGAAACCGCCGGCCGTTGAACTTATTTGTGTACGGACGAAAGACAAAGCCATGGAAGGACATATGGAAATAATCGACTAGTAATAAATAATTCACAATTGCATAACATCACCTTATATTTGACCTTATATTATATGTATCAACTATGATTAGAGTAAATTAAAAAAAAAATTGTTGTTAAACGTCCCCAAAACACAGTGAATGATAGGAGCCGTCATCCGTTATGCTAGTGTCGCAAATCACTCAGCAGTTCGCCGTCACTCACCGGGCCCGAATGTGTAGGTGGAATAATCTACCAGTCCCGCCCTCTCCATCTGAACATTCTTCAGGATATTCTTCTTCGAGGGCACTCCGAACCGAACGCCCGCCCACGTGACGTCATAGCAGCGGAGAGTGACATCACGCTGGTGGGAGCAGGTGTTCTCGATATCTTCGGAGCCCTCAAACTGACACCGGGTCAGGTCCGTGTCCGTCGGGGAGCACTGGACCGAACTGCGGACAGGTTGGACACCGATAAGTTACTAGGAATCGCCGTATTCAAGTGCCCGACAAAGGTCAGAGAGTCGACTAGATTACTGAGAATAAGCGCACATGCATAAACTTGTTTAACGAAAACTTGGCAGAGATATGCAACATGACCCTCTACCTTCCACCAAAACCTACTCAAGCTATCCTTAAGCTAAAAGCAGTTCATGAAGCCGCGGCTGGCTCTCGCTCACCTCATGAGGACTCGGGTGTCGAGGTTGTCGTCGGGCGGCAGGTCGTGCGGATCGACGGTCCAGTCGGCGGGGTTGAGCACCCAGCCGAGCTGCTGGCAGGCCAGCGAGGCCGGCAGGCGGCTCCAGCCGTGGTTACACACCGTGCCCCACTCGTTACCGATCAGCACCTGGCGATGGATGTCGGAGTGAGCTACGATTTACCTACAGATCTAATTCATACGTGCGTAAGATGAGTGCTCTGAGAGTATACGAGTATAGTTACGACAGACTTTCTATTCAGTGGGTCGGGTAGTCCAAAAGCACCGAAGATAAAAACGTTAAATAGTCGCACGCCATGAAATATCCCGAGCTTTGATGGCGTTCAAGCAACACACCGAGCCCGTCCCGTACATGCTCCCCAAGCCACTGTGACTGCACGATCGTGACCCACTCGCTACCTGGAGTCGTCCCTCACGATCCGTCTTGCCGCCGACCAGCCGAACTGGCGCCAGGCTGACGTTACTGCGGATGCCGCGCTCCTGCAGGCCGAAGGTGATGCGCTTCTCATCTGCCAGTGAAGAGCCTTCAGCGTGGAGGTGCCCAGCCACCATCATACCTGGGAGATTGGGATCAGCAGTGAATAAGAGTGGGTGAAATATCAGTGTTCAGGGAGGCAAATACTGATATGACATGAACATCGATACACTCCTTCAGCTCAACACTAAGACGAGGATCATGACATATGTAGTAGCAAGATAATTATTTGAAAGCATTGCCGCCAGCTAAAGTGCAACAGACAAGAATGACAAAACGAACACGAGTAAAATAATCCATCATCTGCCAATTATTAGTTGCCGTATGTTTCAGGTTAAGAACTTACCGACGCTATGTGGGAAGAGCAGGCGAACACCGAACGCTATGGTCAGTCGTCCTGTGGGACGGACGAAGATGTCCCGGGTGACCTTCAGAGTGCCCTCAGGCAGCACCACCTGGCCGTCGATCTCGCCTCCGATCTCTCCCTGCTCGTTCGGCCCGAAACTCGGTACAAACTGCTCGTTCAGAGACAACAGAGACGAGTCCGGATCGTTTTCGCTCAGCAAGAATGGCTCAAAGTCCGCCCTGGCCAAGTTGTAGCGGTCCTTGCGGTCAAAGATGCGGTCGTACACATCTGTGGAGCGTTTGTAGCCAAACCAGTTGTGGGAGGCGTTGGCGTTGGAGCTCTGATCCTCGAAGTGAACACCGAGCTCGTAGCGAGAGCCCGGGTTCTGCAGGATGTTTCGATAGACGATCGCTGTGGCCGACGAAACGGTGACGACTGCGGACACACGGTTACGTGGGTTCAGGCTCGGGAAAGGCTCGGCTACAGTATTTCGCAGCAGGAAGTTACGAGTGAAGAGAATGTTCTGTCGAGATGAACGAACAAACTGAGATGCTCCAATGCTGACGACGTATATTCCGCGATTCCTTTCAAAGTAGTTGTCGGATATTTTCAGTCGCACTGGGAGAAGTTCCACATCCGGTGTGTCTCCGCTAAAAATACGCATCGTGGCCTTCCGCTGCTCAAAGAAGAAGTTATGTTCGATAGTCCCGACCATGTTAGCGACCGGTGCCATGTTGATGGCAAGCTTCTCGTTGGCAATGAAGCGGTTGTGACCGACCTGAAGCTTCAACGGATCGTAGGTCTCATTCCAGCAGGACCAGATATCTACAGCGTCCCCCTTCCCATTCCAGAACACGTTTCCGCTGATGTTGACGAAGGCAGAGCGGCAGTAGTTACCGACAAACAGGCCCTGCTGCAGATTGGCAGAGATATTCGAGTACGACACGACCAGCTCCTGAGCGAACGCCACCCGCTCGCGGGTCTCGTTGAACCAGACAGACACACCGCGTCCCGAGTTGGCGCGGATGTCGCACCACGAGATGTTCTGGTTTCCGCCCGCGTACGTTACGTTCACTCCATCGCCCAGGTTTCCGCTGATGTGCGACCACGTGATGTTGACGTCACCGGCGCCTCCCAGCACGTGCACGCCGGCCACGTGCGAGTTGTTGGCCACGATCGTGCGGTGGATGTGCACCAAAGAGCGGATGTTCTCGATGGCGATGCCACGCCCGTTGTTGTTGGCGATGATTGAACTGGAGACGTTCAGATCGTGCGCCTTTCCTGCGGGAGAGACGATATCAAGGAGCGTTAATTCCAGATAATCTTTATAGTAATGACCACTGAACATTGATCAACTTTCTATACCTAACTACAAACAAACAAAGATAGCGCACCATCTCAGGCCATCATTCACTCTTTTATCTGTCTATATGTTGTCCCCCAGAAAGCAGTGATGAGGTATTGCGACCCAGATAATAGCACAATATAACGGCATTTTTTTTCTTATTCTAGGTTAAAGCTTTTATTTTTAAGAAAGCAGTTCAAGAGGTCACGCTCCCAATAGCGAAGTGAACAACAGAGCCGACACACGCAGCGTACCGTCGCCGGCGGTGATGGCCATCAGGACCTCGGTCTGCGTCTCGTTCCGGGCGCTGAACGTCACCAACAGATTGTTCCTCGTGGTTACCACGCTCTGAGGTCGGGTGCCGTTACGGATCTGTCGAAACCACTCAGAGGGTAAGACTGGTGCCATAATTACAAATGTGTCTCATAATGAGTTACTTCACTGGCATACTTTTGTAAAAACGCATGACAAAACACTGTCCTTTCAGTAAAAACAAGCCGGATGCATCATGCCCTTCAGCTACCTGGAGGGTAGCTGGATTTGATCCCAATCTAAGAACGAACAAAGCAATCACACTCCGTTAAGAACACCTGACTGTCGTAGAGTATGTGGCGCAGAACGTTCCTGGACTGACCTGGAAGGTGCCCAGCAGCGGCGAGGTCACGGCGGTGCCGTCGTAGAAGCTCAGCGTGGCAGAGTCGTCGATGTCATTGGCCAGGTAGAGGAAGTTGACCGTCATCACCAGGCCGGGCCGGCAGCGGAATGTCTGCGGTAGGTCATAGAAAGCGGACGGTGAAGTGACGCTGGCGACAGCACAGATGACAATATTTTGGTTGTCGGTAAGAGGGTGGGTGACAGCTTTCAGACGAAATGCATTAGTTGCGGCAGCTCCAAGAGACTGAGGTCCGCATCACACCGTGTCTAATTATGACGTCATTATCACACCGAAGTCTGTTAGACCAACACAACGATATCGACCCGAATACCGTAGCTATCAGCGGTTACTCTGCTACCACAGCAGTTACTCCGAGTACCGCAGCTATCGGACATAACCTCAACATAACCGAGCTTTAGAGGCGACCTTTCTGCGACTCTCTCCCTCACCTTCTGACACCGTTTGGAGAGGTAGCTGGTGCGGTACTGTTGAGCCGCCGTGACGATGGGGTACACCGACTCCAGCGTGGTGCCCGAGCTGCAGAAATCCGAGACTGGCGCGCCGTCCACCTCCCGGCGCGGGATCTGCAGCTCGTGCTGCACCAACTTCAGGCCGTCGGCGCCGTTACCGTGCACGTGACAGTCGTGCACGTGCACCAGTCCCGTGGACGTGTTGAAGTACATGCCGATGCCTGGCAAGTGTTAAAGAAGATCGCTGCTGTTCATGACTTCGTTCATGACTTTGAACAGCATACAATGATATTAGATACTAAATACGTCGAACTTAAGTAAATGTTTCAAGTGAACTTTCTCGAAGTACATTATTAATCAGGAGGGCAGACACTGCCATGAGCGAACCTGTAACTAAAATTATTTAGTGCCCAAATTCCTCGCCTCCTGAAGACCCGAACATCCAGCTGACACTTCATCCACTGACCAGCGTTGTCGCTGACGGTGCAGTTGTTGATGGCCACCAGCGAGTCGGGCTGGGTGACGTTAATGCCGCCAGAGACCGAGTCCCTCACCGTCAGGGAGTACATCCGAGGAGGCACGCCCACACTCTCAATGGCCGCCTGAGCCTGGGAGCGAGACGGTCAGTGGTTAGGCACGTTAAGGGTAATTTGTCATGTTTTAAATGCTGAAAATGTTACATTGTTTTCGAAAGAATCGAGGAAGCTTTGGTGCCTAAGAGCGATACTGCTGCTGAACGGTGTTTAGCAGTACTGACGAGTGACGGAACGAAAGCTTAGTCTAAAGACAATCCAGGCGTAAAAAGTTACGCTTGACGATTCGCTCAATGTTACTTCTTGGGTTTCACATGGTACATACCTCCTTATTGGGTCCCATGCCGGCGTGCAGCACATCCACATGGTAGAGCTTCGAATTTGAGAACTTCTCGTAGAGGGTGTCTCCGGCGGTGAGCATTTTGACGTAGGAGGCGTGCTCGAACCTCAGTCCACGCCAGTGGGTCAGAGGCCGGCTGGCCCCCAACACGGGGTCACAGCGGATGGCCAGGTCGGCGTGCTCGTCTGCCGGTAAAGCACAAAGCGGGTCAGCTGAGAGACGGGACGCCACCTTGAGGAAAGTTGGGCCTTTGCGTAGATGTACCGGATTCAAGAAAACCAATAGAACGACGAATTGCATGCTGCAGCTGATCTCAGTGAAGGGCATTCGGAGGGGTCTCATAATTTTAAACAACAGACTCAGAAAAAATAAGTAGGCATGGATAAAAGACGGGCGTTAAACTTCTGTCACCACCTATTGAGTCTCACCACAGACGCCGGCTCCCATGGCGCGGTACTGCCAGTTGCAGTCCTGCAGGCGGCTCTCTGCCCCGGTACAGTCCGGTTTGGGGTACAGCAGGCGGCGGGTACCGTTCAGCCACGGGTACCAGTCGGCGTACTCGCCACCAGAGAAGCCCAGCTGCGAGCAGGCCACCCCCCGGTCCGCCTCCGTCCAGCTGCAGAAAGTGAATGTGCAGTCACGGTTGGGAGAAGTCATTCATGGTTGCTGGCACGCCGCTTCGACCGGGTATATGTATTACCTCACAGCAGTTACGGTCGCTACCTGCAACGTCCACAACGTCTCTTGAACAGTGCGAATACCGTGGAGCGATCGCAGCAAGTGCATTTGATAATTAAGTATTAACAGCCTTAAATGAACACGTCATTGAATCATGTGGCGCTGTTGACATCTCACAATGCTAAGGAATATTGCATTGTGAATTAAACCACAATAGCGACACCGTTAGTGATCATTGGCGTTGCAAATTCTCACTTTCTGGAGTTGGTGCAGACGGATCGCCAGTGGTGTCGGTGGAAGATCTGCACCCGGCCCTCCCACGGTGTCGGCCCGTCCACCAGTCGCAGGGAGGGGTGCGGCAGGGGACCGACGGACGGCTCGGCCGTGGTCAGAACAATCCGATCCCGGCTGCCGCCCTGGAACGGGAGAACACAGCGCCCACAGCGTGCATTTAGGGGAGGTCACAAGGCACCTAATTGGTCACATGTGGGCGCAGGACACGATACCATTGCTCTATGTATAGTTGTTTGAATCAGTCACAAGTCCAATCGATGAAAGGTGCCATGCATGTCGTTTATGCCATGACGATTGATTTGCCATGTTTGCAATCTTTTGTACGTACTGGTCGAACCAAGGCGGACTGATAAAGCTAAGAAGTGCATGCTTTAAACGGAATACCGATTATATTATTTAAAATGTGTGCAGCGATCTATTACGCGTTTGAGTCACGCACGTGTTGGCTGTATCGGTGTTAGCATTACTGGCTGTGTCTTGCGGGACGGTCTAAGTGGCGAGGCGCGCTTGCACTGCGGGACAGTCTACCACTATGTTTGGGTTGTGTGTCATGGGTACATACAACTTCACCTTCAGAGGCCCCTGAAGGATGAATAAGTCTCGTATATTTGCATACTAATCTTTGCAGCCGTTTAAAGCTGCATATCTCTTGAGTACGTCTCGGAACAGTTACACATATCGCACAGTAATCTTTTAAAGGTAAAATGCGATTGAATCATAACCCTAGACATGGCCAGCAAGCGATTGAGCCTACAAACAAAGAGCCGATAACCGTATCAAACTTGGAGTACAGAGACTACTTCAACCCCCAGATTGTGTTACACGTGTGTCAGTCATGCAGCTACCATTGGTCAACAAAAAGACTTTGAAAATTACATTAGGTGCTCGTTAGTCGTTACAATGGTTTAAAACGTTTTTAGCATGATTTTAATTACATAAAATTGTAGTTAGAATTAATGATAGCCTTTTGTTCATAACTAAAGGATGTGGATTTGTTTTTAGCTTCCTATAGTTATGAGAACCAGATTAACATTAATTCTTACTACAATCCCTAAATACCCGTTAATGTGACAATGCATGCATACCTGGGTCATATAATAACTTATCTGTCCTCTGTCTCTCTCTCATACCTGGCTCGAATAATAATTAATCTGTCCTCTGTTACAACAGCAGTAGCACTGTGACGATCTTCGTGACGCTGCAAGTGCTGTGACGCAGTAACGGTCAGTGTGACACGTGACAGCCAGTGTGACGCAGTAGCGAGCAGTCTGTTACAGCCAGTGTGACGATGTAACGGCCAGTGTAACGCTGTGTCGGTCAATGTGACGCGGCGCGAGCCGGCCACGTGCGCGGCCAGGCCGTGACGGCTGTTTTCGTTACGGTCGGCGTGACCCCGCGTCCGTGACCGGCACACCGTGACGACGACGCCACCGTCACCACCGCAGTCACCCGTCTGGCCGTCTTCAATTGATGATTAGTGACTCTTGAGGCTCAAAAATTCCAGTAACAAAACATCATCTAATTGCACATTATTCAGCTTCAAAATTGTTTCATTTTGACACTTGAGCTTCTTCATACAACTGTATGCTTTGAAGCAGGACCGCGGAGTCGATCGATTTTCGGGCGACTCCGACTCCGACTCCGGCTTTCAAAATCAACTCCGACTCCGACTCCGACTCCAGCCCCAACTCCGGATGTTATTCTTAAATTCCTAGTCGAGATGTCTTTTATTTTGCCTGAAACGATCATTGGATCGTTCCAAAGCCTTACTTTGCAATAAAATGCCTTATAAATAACACGCAGAATTTAAAGCAGATTCCGGAGAATTCGCCTTCTTCTGCTTCAGTTTCGCTGAAAACTCTCGTCCAAAACAGGAATATGGTCTTTTTTCGACAAAATCTGCTTTCCGAAAGGTCAACTAGCGTAGAATCGCCTATGCAAACATGTGCAGGGCATGACGTTACTCTGTGCAGCGATAGCTCCAACTCCGAAGTCGGAGTCGGTAAGATTTTGGCGACTCTGACTTCGACTCCGACTCCAAAACTGTCGACTCCGGGCGACTCCGACTCCGACTTCGACTCCGCAGCCCTGCTTTGAAGGCTTTTGAACAGCATCAACTGGCATCGCAGACACAGTTCCCTTACACTCCTGCTTTAGACACGCTTTTAAGTCATGAGATCCCCAAAATAACTTATCTTTTTGTGCACCTAACAACGATTTAAACAGAGGCCAATTCATGGTAGCCGAGTCCCTGGCATTGTATCATCCATTCGGTTACGCCGGGTGGAACCGCGGTGACTTCCGCCGAGGCACCCTGCGTGACTCGGTATGGGGCGGGGGACCTGGCGGAACATACCTACGGGCCAGATTGTCGGCCCGGGTCTGAGTCAGTCGCGCTGTGACGGTACCGCCACCGTCACACCACCACCGTCACACCGGCGTCACGGTGGGGCCCGTGAATGGGCCCTTCTCACTCCTTCCCCTGTCCCCTTCAGCCGCAACCCCACGCCACGTGCTGCTCAGCAATTACGGCATTGAAAAACGCTGCAGTTTTTGTGTAAGCTGTGAGCGTTTGTCTTGTCGAAATAGGCTAGTGGCTACGATCAGAAAACACTGTATTTTGGTAGACGTTCCTGTTTTAGTGACTTAATTCCAGCTCCTAATGCCGCACCGTTCGCCAAACTGCTTGACCCGTTCCCAGTATCAACGAGCCAGAAATCAAAGTAAACGCGTGCGTTCGACACTTCAAAAGCGAATTGATCCGGCGTGTCGTGTAAAGACGTGGCTTCTGTAAGTTCTGAATTGGCGGTGAGCTAAGCCACTGGCTGGTCAGTGATCCTCACCATACCATTATATCATCGACGATCTACGCCACAGTGTCCGAGTCGAATTCCGCTGCCGAATCAGACTGAGGCCCCACCGACTCGCCGTGTGAGTGCTGTGAGTCACGCGGCTCAGCGCTGCCCCGTCCGCGCTGCCACGAGCACGGGCCACAGGCCGTTGTAACAGCACAGCGGTTATCAGTGGGTTATCAGTGGCGACAGGCCAGGTGGGGGCGGGGAGGGGAGGGGTGGGGACGTGACTGCCAATCCAAATCGCAACGGGCGTACCACGCGGCTGAAGTATGCCTGACAGTGATGGTATTGACGGCTACACATGCACGTTTGCCAGAAGTTATGCGCACATGAAACAATAATGTGACTTTTAGATAAAACAGTCTAGAGTTTCAATTCTCCGTGATTCAAATGCCGAAGGAGCTAACAGCTGCTTGCCGGTATAAAACACAAACATTAGCCACTTGGGTATGCAAACACCTAACGTCCTTACATAGATAAAATGGTCTAGGGTTGTAATTCGCTCCGATTTAAATGCCGAAAGAGTCAATAGCTACTTGCGATATATTATACAAACATTACCCACTTGGGTATGCAAACACTTTCGGCATTTAACCATGCCTCACCTTGAGGTTTAGCAATCACTTCAGCCACGTCAAACAACTGATACTCCTATCATCCGCCACTCCCTGCGTACTTACCGCAGCAATGAGTCGTCCTCCTCTGACTGTGACCCCCGTTCCGGGAACGAATCGGACAGTCACACCGGCATCAATGCTCACTGAGCCACCAGCCAGGATCAGCACATCAGAGCTGGCTAGGTAGGGGCCGCGGGCCCGGTCCCAGTGGACAGCGCTCGAGTACACGCCGCCCACCTCCGTGTCAGCCCGGCAGACGGCGGGCACGGCCAACAGCACGGCCAGCACGGCCGGCACGGCCAGCAGCACGGCCCGTGTGAGCGACGGGGTCCGGCGGTAGGGGCCGGTGGTCCGTCCACAGGGACCGGTGGTCGGTCTGCAGGGGCCGGTGGTCCTGCAGGGTGGACCGGCCGGTCCGCGGACCAGTCTGTCCGGCAGGCGGGGGAGAGATGGCGCCGCCGAGCGACGCATGGCGCCAGTGGAGAGCCCGATCTGTCCTCTAATAAAGGCGCGCTGCGTGAATAAGTGTTCCACGTCTCTCGTCCCCTCCAAAACGGCTAACCGTCCTCTGAATTACCTCAGACCCACTTCATTCGCAACGGTGCAGTGTCGCAATCGATCACGACCCTTCACACAGCCGCGGATATCTTCAAAATCCCCACAGTTCACACCATCCACAGACTTCCACGCGATCACTTCCGTCAACGGTCACAAACCCACTGCTTCTTGGACCACCCTGTAGCGAGTGTCTCAGCACTGTCACTGCCACATTCACTCCGACCCTGCGTGACAGCGCGCCCACCGTTCGCCCTCACACGACAATCGCTCTACTCTGTGTGTCGGGCCGCTGCTCCGCTGCTCCGCAGCTGATATGGTTCTCGGCGGCGTCACGTCACGCCGTGTGACGTCACTCTGTGTGTGACGTCACTCAGGTATGACTCCCTCAGCTCGGCACAATACGGTTGGGTGAGACAGGGCGATACTTGCCTGCCGTTTGTAACTGACAACGTATAAGATATCAGCAAGAAACGTGGGACGTTGACTGTGCCACTGAATATCGGGCAATGTTGTCTCGGAACGTCTCACAAAGATTGGAGGCGGGAACTCGAGGATGTGAAATCAGAATACCTAAGCATGAACTAAAGGTGGCTTATCATGGCCTGGCCGTCAGTATTGGATGAATGACGATAGATACTTATGCATATGCATACAAACTTCCATAATTATTGCACAGGGAGCAAAATGGGCATTGCTCTAAAATAGGTTCAATGGAAGGGGAAGAAGTTTTGAAGTACTTATAACCAGTGTTATCACTAGCTGGGGCATTCCACGATAGATCGTACCAGGCCCGTCACCCTCATCTCTCAGATTTTAATGAAAATCGGTCCTAGGGGTAATCATAGGCCCCAAAGACGCCTGGCAAAATATCAGACTTCTCAGATCAAAACTTTTTGAGTTATATTGCATTGCATTTTTTTAACTTAGGTATGTAACGGTGAGTTTGATGGCCTATAACTCAAGAACGGGTTAAGCAACCAACAAAAAGTAAGCATCACTAAGCTTGCGATGAATCAAAAATTAATATTACTATTTAAAAATTCCATAGAAAAAATTTCATTGCTGAGCAAAAACCTTAATCTTTTTTCATTTGCCTCTAATGACTTTTGGGACCAAAATTTTTGCCTTTTTTATTTTTTCAAAATAATCTTCATGTCATTGCAAATCGACATGCAAAAAATTAGAAAGGTGTTCTTTCTATAAGTTCCTCATTTTCCCGCAAACAAAATGGGTTTCGGAGGGGTTTATACGACCCCAGCACGCCGTTTCGCTTCTAATAGAGCTAGAGCCTCTCGGAAAAAACGAGCGTGTGTGCCGTTACAAGTCCCAGCGATTGGTACCCGATTTTAAGGTCTCAGGTTAACCGGTAGCGTCTGAGGTCAGGTCACGTGACTGAAGTTACGGGTTCGGTTTTTAGTAAATAACTTCGCAAAAAAATGGCCGCAGAGCCGCGATTTTGGCATCATTGTGTTCGCCTAGCTCAGGTGCATCGAATGGTATACTTTTTGCTAGGGTGAGGTCAACTTAAGTAGTTGACCTCGGGTCAAGGTCAGGTCAGAGCCCCTCAGGTCACGAAGCTGGGCAAAGGGTATCATATGGCATATCATTCGATTCGGAAGGTCTTCCCGAGTCCATTGGTGGCTTTCCCGACTCTCTAGCTCCATTTGATCGGGAGTTATTGACGAAAAACTCGTACGACCCTAGTGACGTCATAAATGACGTCACGCAAGGTTAACAATGCAAAAGTTAAGCATTGGACTTTGCAAGGAGTGCATGAAATCACGATACCATGTACGTGGGATAGTTTTAGATCATTCTCGGCGCCAAAATAACAGTTTTTATATTTACCACATGCCGAGATATCCCTTTAACATTAGCACGTGCATTTGGGAAATGGCTTCGGCCCGCCTCGGCTAATGTTGAAGGTATTTCAGGCTGGCACGGTCCGCCGACATCAAAACAACGGTGCGTCAGCTGATTATTGGTCCTCCGATTCAGGAGAAATTATTAACGCGGGAACGCCGGCGCTAAATAAAGGCGGTAGGATTCACGGCTTCGCATGATCGTGTGCAATATTTTTTATAGTATCAAGCGAGGGGTATTGCTGGAGTTTTGCAAATAAATATTTTGTTCTCAGTTTGGCTATGCGATCGTGAATACTTTATTTTCATAGATACGATATGAAACAGGATAAACAGGCCAACCCAAGGCTTATGTAGGCCAACCTTGGACTTCGCATAGCCATGGACATTGCGTAGGAAGGTACTCGCCGATCGTACCACGATACCACGGGCAAGATATCAGACTTTTGGGAGTTTTGTGTCGCTGAAATGTATTTTAAGTGCTAAGAAGGAAAATAATTCAATTTAATGATGTCATGGACAATGGACATTTAGCCATTCCAAGCATATAATTTGCCTGGCTTCGACAACCAGATAGCCAGGTTTATTTCAAGAGCTTCTAAAGAGGTAGTGGATTTAATATCGTTTCTATTACATTTATTTGATAATCCTACATATCAGTAAACCTGCCACGCTATCATTCTCGGCGAGCGAAGCGATTACCGGCACATCGTACCAATGCCAATGCAGCGTCAAGCGTCCGATGGTTTACGATAGGAATTATAACAATAGTTTTAAACTAGCGCTTTTTAGAACCATGGTCCGAAATGGTAATTCAAAGAACCTCTTCCCCTTTCAACTCACCTGAAAAAGCTGCTTTCGTGTACCACCCAGCACCCGTTTCGTAGATATATCAAAATGATAACCGGAGGCGAAGATTATCTTTATGATCTACCACGATTCGTGGGGCTGACTAGTAGGTACCGACGGGGATCCCACAAACACGACGGTCACATTCATTAAGCATGATGTACGGCGTAAAGCACCACAACTCGGCCCCAAAAGCGCAACCTTCTGAGATATCTTATATTTAGTTTCAATGCTGGTACTGGTGCAGTTTCAATGCTGGTACTCTGCTCATTTCTGTTCAATGAAGTTATTTCTCGCTTAAATGCGCCTCACATTAATCGTGTGCTGTGCTCCACAATCATTGCGCCGCGCGCTCTTCCTTCTTATCGGCCCCCTTGAGATCGTATCCATCAATATCTATTTGCTTCTAAGTTCTAATGACTTGTAGAGAAACAACTTTAGAGTGTTTAACAAAATAATTGCATAACGAGCGATGGGAAAAGCCCAATCGTCCAACTCATAAAAAACATTGGGACACAAACAACTGGAAACTGTTGGTAGTTGGTACTTTCGCGCATAGGCGGCGGAACGGGGAGGGCACCGGGGCACCGTGCCCCCCCTTTGATTTTGGCATTTTAACATGGGCTCTATGGGCGTTACATGGAAAGAATGGGACCAAAAGTCGGCAGTGCCCTCCCCCCCCCCCTTCCCCAGTTGAGCTGGGCGCAGGTACTAAATAGCATCAAAGGAAATCCTATATTCATCTCGCCGCATTTAAGCGCACCAATCGAAAGACGACAGCGTGACCGCGCTGACAGGCAATCAACCTGGCCACATAAAACTAGCTAGTGCAAGGAAGATGTCTATATAAACCACTGGACCATGCAAAGCGTTCAGTAAATAAAATACGAGTAAAGATGACGCGTTTGAGGGCAGACTGGCCAAACAGTGGCGTTACACGCGGATCTCAACACTGCACAACACATTCATCAAAAAAGATCTCGTGGATCCCTATATACGTCATAACTAGCCCTAGTACGGGGGTATATAGCCATGGACGTAAATGGCCGGCTTAAGGCACAGGATCCCAATTGTCATCCCCATTACGTGGTCCCCAGAAGTCGCCAGGCCGAGAGCCAATGGCAGTTAAGCACATCTTACACGTGCCGACAAACGTGACACAATGAATCCAATAATGAGTCCGCTAATAAGCCTGCCTAATTCTGCATGTAGGCTGCTATTTACCACCACGGCGGAAGGCTAAAACGCATCCATACAGCTCAACATAGGTGTCAATTCCCGCCGGGTTGGGGGTGCTCAAGCTCTTTAAATTCCCCGCCGGCTCGGCTGGCTTGGCTTTGGAGCCCCAACAGACGGTGCGGGTCAAGGTCACCGCTAAGGCAGCGGCGGATTTGCTGCGCCCGGGCAGTGGGCACCCTCAATTCGGTGAAAATCGACACCCATGCAGATCAACATGACAAAACGCTGCATACAAGCGCACGTCCTCGCATTTAATTGACGCATTTAACTGCGTCACTAACCTCGTACACTGTACAACACTGGTGAGATGACTGTCCGAAGGAAACTGCTGACTTTGGCTGGCAACATTCAGGGTTGGTGACTTATGTACTGAGTTCGGCTGGCTGACAGCGATGTGACTTCAGGACAGGTTGATGAACGGGCCATCCTAGCCCCATACTACAGGAGCCCAGCTGGTCTTGGCGAGCGGCGGCGACTGGACGAGGCTGGACCCCGACTACAGGAGCCCAGCTGGTGCTGACGAGCGGCGGTTACTGGACGAACGGGTCAGCCTGGACCCCTATTGCAGGAGTCCGGCTGGTCTTGGCGAGCGGCGACGACTGGACGAGGCTGGACTCCTACTGCAGGAGTCGAGCTGGTCCTGTCGAGGAAATAGTTCACCTTTAACATGGGATTTTAAATTGAGATAGCAGTCTGATAGAGCAGATTTGTGTATGCCTTATATTTGAACCGTTTGAGATATTCACCTTTTATCAGTGAATATTGGTGCTTAAATTCATGTTCTAGTGCTCATTTACAGCAAGCAGAAACCTCTTCAACACACACAGTGGCCAATCAGCGATGAGAGCACTTACAGGAGCAGAATCCCTTGCAGCTGATAGGTTGTTCAGCTGTTAGTGTTCACTCTAATCATTAAAATAATGAAATCCCTTTAGAAGAAGTGTGTAATTCCAAGTAAGAATACATTTAAATTTTATTCATCACATTTTTAACACACCTTTTTAAATTTTATTCATCCAGTTACTCACAGAAGGTGAACAATTTCTTTTAACACTTACCTTGCTTCAATGGTGACATGTAGCTCTTGCAGCAGAGAAGGCACAGGATTTGGCTGCAACTTCAAATATTTACTTGTTGCTATCAATTATTCAGTTTTGAAATGCATACAGGTAGGTACAGTGAATCTTGGGTTCTCCTGTAAGAATGCCGACCGCAGAAGCAGAAGTTCATCCAAAGCTTGCACCTGAA